TTGTAAGAAAAATATCCATATTCAAAACGTAATAATCACTTTAATCTAGCTTGCGCTCACTGTTGTACACGGAAGCAGTTCCGGCGGATGACGTATGAGGTCAGCGCTGTGCATGTGCCGCTCAGAAGTGACGAATGTGGAAGCACAGCAGAGAGATCAAAACAAAACAACGGTCACTAATTAGAAGTACAAAACGAGGATTTGTAAAGAAGAATGTCAGAGGATTTCGATATAAGCCAAGAGGACACTGGTTTTCCTTTGCTAAAGTAAGGAAACTTTGCTTCCTTTGCTCCTGTAAACAAACATTGGTTTTCACGAGACTCACCGGCGCATGCGCAGCGCTGAACTCATACATCATCCGCCCGGAGCCGCTTCCGTGTACAACTGCTGGTGCAAGCTACATTAAAGTGATTATTACGTTTTGAATATGGATATTTTTCTTACAAAAACGCATCGATTTGCTGTAGGAGGCCTTTGTTCACCCCTCGGAGCCGTGTGAGACACTTTTTAAAAAAATTTGTATTTAACTTCTTTTGGACTGAAGCAGTGCAACCCCCGCTGAGTGGCATTAAACAGCTTGAAAGATCAAAGACAATTTTTAATATAACTCCGACTGGATTCGTCTGAAAGAAGAAAGTCATATACACCTAGGATGACTTGAGGGTGAGTAATTTATGGACTAATTTTCATTTTTGGGTGAAGTAACCCTTTCATATCGTTTTATCGAGGGAAATTATATTGCGATAATTATCGTTAGCGAATTATCACCCAGCCCTACTTGGAGAAAGACCTTTTAGTATACAGTAGTAATTTCAAAATTTCTGTCATAATTTCTTCAGTTTAAACCAGACTTTTATTATGACGGAATGCGGTGAAGATCTTATAGTTTCAGTGTGTATTTGACAGTAGTTTTTCTCAAAGTAAACAGTGTAAATCTGCTGAGGTGCCTCTCAGAGCAGCTCTGGAGATGAAGTTCATGTCCTCATGCAGTGAGACGAGTGTCACGTGTGTTTGAGTTTGTGTAGTAGATGAAACTCCAGCCCTCGTTCATTCACACAGAGACACAGAACATACAGACTCATCACACATGCACTGACCGCTGCTGTCGCATTTATTTATGCTGATAGATTAATGCATATGGAGTATCGTTTTCAGCATAAATTGTATTGTGATCTAAAATTGTATTGCTTATCACCCCTTTTCTGCTGTTACTGCTCTCAGAAATATCAACATCTATACTCACATGTGGTGTGTTTGAGACTGACAGACAGATGGCTGGTTTTGTGTGGCTCTGGATCCTGATTAGTTTTGACAGCTTGTGTTGATTGTCATCTGCAAGCATTGCAATTTGGGGATTAGTGTGTTAGGACGGACACACACACACACACACACACAGACACACACACACACACACACACACACACACACAGACAGTCAATTATCCGTCCTGCTCCTTATTCTAGACTTGCTTATAGATGATGATGATGATGATGATCCTTGTCTTTATGAGGTTTCTGATAGGGATGCATCGATCCGTTACTCAGGATCGGTATCGGCATTGGCATTTTCTGCTGGATCGGGTATCGGTCAGACGAGAAAAGGCTCAATATATACTATAGCACAGATTTCATAAACTACACATCAGTATCTCTTGTGTTTTGAACTTCTCTATGCGGCGCGCTGCGACTCTGTGTTGCTTCAAGCGCATCATTCTGTGCACGGGATGTGCATAAGCGCTTTGTGCCGCTCTTTATTGGAGCTTTTCATATTATAATACTTTTGCGCATTGAAAGATTATTAATAGCGTTTCTTGTTCTGTCCTATTAAGGCTATTAATAATCAAATGGACTGTATAGCACAGTAATGGAGGCAGCAGCATATGATAGATAGGACTCCTGTATCTATAATGCTATACATTTAAAAAAAATGTCTTTTAATTTTATGGTTTATATTTAAATACATTTACTTGTTTTCATTAATGTATTTTACAACAATAAAGAGAGCAATGTGTATGATTTTACGAGATTTAGTCCTACACTTATTCACTTTTATTTATTTCCCACTAAATTTGTTTTATGCATTTTTATGCATTTTTTTAAATAAAATAAAAAAAGACAATAATAATAATAATTACAACAGCTCTATTAATTAGGGATGCTCCGATCAGGATTTTTGCAGCCGATACTGAGTACCGATTCTGATGCTTCAAGCTTTATATAGACGTTTCATCGGGCGCACACACCTGGCCCAAAGTTAACTTCCGGTCTGTGTTTGTTTATCAGTCTGGCTATGGCTCCGGCATCAAACGCAGTTAAAGTTAAGGTGATGAGTAGACTGAAGTTGGGCTCAGGTGGTTGTGCTGTGGGATGTGTTTCCCATACATTTATTTATTTGTGGCGCTCGCCACAATATCAAAACTGACGGATTTTCCAAAAGGCTTCATTGAATAAACATGAGCATGTACAAAAATAAAAACGAGGCGCGGGTGTTTTTATATCCCTGTATTTCTGAAGGAAGTTTCTCCGATGTCATTTTCATTTCATCTTGCATGTTATGTGCCTGATAAAGCAGCGTTTGTGAGCTCAGTGCTGTTTTGTGTTCACAGCCGTTACTGGGGAAACCTCTGTTTCTCCCGCTTTAAAGCACCTCCAGCTGGCAGAGAATGAATTTGCATTTTCGGTAAGTTCGTCTGATTTACGGGTCGGGTAATAAAAAATGCATTCTGATTATTTGCGGGTGGATAAAATAAATCATAAATGATGCAAATATTAACTACATTTTAATAAATTTTTTCATGAGGCATATGATTTCGTGTGTGTGTGTGTGTGTGTGTGTGTTCGTTCGGCTGATCGGGAAGTTGCAGTGACAGAAACAGTGACATTCCAGGTAAAGTTTGAAAGGAGTAAAGCCTGTGTTAATGCTATTGAGTAGGCTAATATGGCCACAGAAGATATTGTGTTTTATAAATAAATGTTCATTTAAAAGCAGCCCACAATCAGCGTGTTATGCTACCATTATCCTTTACAGCTCCGACGAGGTTTTGTTCCGTCCTCCACGCAGTGACAACTCACAAAAGACTATTTTTAGCCAAGCAGCGCAGAGAGCCGCTTCAGAAACGTGCCGCGGCTGGCTGGTATTAAACACAAGCACTGACTAGAGCGGCCGCGATCAGCTCCGGTGGCTGTGGAGTCGTAACGCGTCGCAGACGTGTGCAGTGAGGCTTTAACGTCACTGAATCTGCTGTTAAAAATTAACCATCCATTCATCATATCATCATGTAAAACATACACGACAAATAGCGAATTTTTCATTGTTTCTCGAAACGTCATAGCATTTCCACACCAGCCATGACATGACTGCGGCACCAAATCATTAATGTCCCCACGCATCATGTACGTCGTCACACGTTGACGTCATCCAATTGCGATCGGTTCGTGAGATCGGCCAAGTGCAGTGAGTACCGATCAAGTCATAAAATGCGATTATCGGCTGATACCGATCTCCGGCCAATAGATCGGAGCATCCCTACTATTAATACATTTATTATAACACTCACACATAGGCTACTGTTCAAATTGGGATCTATAATATTGTCTGTTTTCAAAAAAGTCTCTTCTGCTCAGCAAGGCTGCATTTATTTGTACAGTAAAAAACACATAACATTAATTTTAAGTTAAATTGTGCTTTGTTGGTATATCTGCTAGAATGTTAAAAATGTTCAGTGTCAAATAGGCTAAATAATTTTAAATTGTTTTGTAATTAATGTTTTCTTTGAAAAGCAAGACAAAACCGTAAAAAGCACATATTGGCTGTTCAGTTTATGTAATGGTGAAAAATAATTGGCAAAAAACATGAAAAACCATGTTCGATATTCGGCCTTCGGCCCAGTGTTTAATTTTGTTCGGCTTTGGGCCAAGAATTTTCGTTTCGGTGCATCCCTAGTGATACAGTGATGCTATTATGTGTCAGGATAAGCAGGAAGAGACAGACGTTATGATTATGAGAGCTGACCCTAAATCAGTTTGACTGCTGAATCGCAGCTTGACACTCACATGTAGACTTGAAACCCATCATGAGTGTGTTTGTCTTGAGTCTTGACCAGAGGAGCAGCTGCTGGAGTGAGTTCTAGGGCTGCACGATTATAACTAATCATAATTGTCGATTATTCCCTTGAAATTGTAATTCCGATTATCACAATTTACATTGATGTTTTAAATAGCTTTATACCATTGTTTGAAGCAACTGCATGCTATAATTTTTTTACAAAAATAAAAAAAAACAAGCTGAAAACACTCTTCCTGAAAAAGTTGTATTGCTTTTCTTGTTGCCGCAACGATACATTGGTTTGGTTTCTTTAAATAAAAAAAGTACAAATATGCAATATGCATGGCATAATAATGTTATACTAAAACTAAAATTAAAACAATGAAAAAAACTCAAGATAACTTGTAGAAAGAAAAAAAAAACAACTGAGTTTGCCTTATCAAGTATTTTGGCCTAGAACACAAGCCATAAAACTCTTCAAGTTTTCAGGAATGAACAACACCAAGTTTGACTTTTAAAGATTTTGGAACAAAAAGCCTGTCCACACTTTCAGGCTTTTGGGATGCACGCAAACAAGTCACAATGTTTCCTCCAGTGCTGAATAGTGCTTTCTGAGGGAGAGCTTGTGGCGGGAATGCACAACTACTATTGTGCTAACTTGGAGAGTGCTGGGTATTGTTTAGCATGTTCCTTCCACCAGACCAAAGGATTCTCCTCACTATCTACAGCAGCAGAGAGGCGGTCTTCTGCTTCCTCTCTAACAGTCACACTCACAGATGGATGAGGTTTTTAATAAAACAAAGGCAGAAATTTAGTTTAACCCATAAAAAATAATGTCATATACTATTACCAGTATAGTAAGAACTATTTATTAATGTTAAATTAATACTGAAATGGCCCAAATAAAATTATATTATATACATGGCACACACATGACCTATAATTATTACCTTCATGACTGTAGATATTGATGCCATTTCAGTTCTCAAACGAATCTTGACAGCTTCAACTCTGTCTTTGTTGACGTACTTGAGCTTGAATCTGAGATCAATTGCAGAAGCCCTGTCTTGAGCCAACTCTTGAGTCTGTGAATCATCATACTTCTCATTCAGGTAGTCCAGGATCTTCTTCTTGATGCATTTTGACAGTTCTGTTTCTCCCTCTTTCTCTGCCAAGATTTTGTTGTTGAACAAATGAAGAACAGGCTTCACATATGATACACTTACATATTGCTCTCCTGAAAGAGCATCAGTGAATTCAGCAAGTGGAGAAAGGGAGTTGTTGACCGCCTCAAGGACTTCTACATCCTGCCATGTGGGAACAAGGTGTCTGGCTTTTCTGTCCATGGAGAGAACACAAGAAATGGTACTCTGTTGTTCCAACACCCTGGCGGCAATCATTGCTTGTTTTGAGCCCCACCTCGTTGGACACTCAGTCTTGAGCTTGTTTTGAGGTAACTTGAGCTCTTTCTGGGCCTCGGACAACTCCCTCCTTCGTCTCCAGTTATAGGAGATACACCCCACCACCTTTTTGCAGACATTCAGTGCACGGTCAATCCGTCCATCTTTCAAAGCATGTTCTAAATACACACACACACACGCACACAGTTTACTAAAGCTATATATTAAAGGCAGCCAGCATCTCTTTCAATCCTTAAGCAATCGCATCTCCAGTGTGATCTTGTAGAAAATAGGACGTTTGCAAGCATCTGCTTTTGAGTTGAAACTCGTCATCAATGTAATGAACTGTTAGGCTCATATATGGTTCCATAGTTCTACTCGACCATAAATCAGTCGTGGTGGAATAGAACTTTATTTTCTGCAGATCTAATTCAATCCTTTCCCGGCATTTTGCATAAAGTGAAGGTAGCGCAACTTGAGAAAAATAATTGCGGGAGGGGATGACATATCTCTTGTCCAGTGTGTTTTTGAGTTTTTTTTAAACCCCATGCTGCAAACCGAATTAATCGGCACCATGTCCTTTGCAATGAAATGCGTGAGCGCTTCAGTTATCTCAATCTGCCTTCGGGAACCTGCCGGGTACGGAGAAGTACAAAACAACGATTTCGTGATGGGTGTCTCTGTAGCAGTTCTTGCATCACTTGGTGATTTTTTTTCTTCACGCTGAGACTCTCCTCGTATTGCACTCTGTGGTTGAATTTTAAATGGTTGTATAAATTCGTTGGTATTGCTTGATGGTGCAGACACCGTTGTTCGACATAACTTGCACAGTATAACACGCTGCTAGACATCATCACCCGTGAATCCAAAATAATCCCACACTACTGATGAAGCTTTTCTTTTCGGTTCTAATGCTTGATTCTGAGCAACACTTTGCAAGTTGTCAGAAGTTGTTGTTTATAGTTATCGTGCTTGGTGTGAACGGGCCTTTATACTGTCTTTTTATGCGTTGCGTTGCATCGCGCCGCGTAGACATAAAACCATGTCTGAATTTGTGATCGGAGAAATGACAAACAACAAGCGCTACTCTACACTGCCCAAAACTCGAGTTTGAATCGTCAGTGGCTAATTCTTTAATTTGAAGCTTTAAAGCTTAAGTCAATGGAAAACCATTGCAACTTTGAACGGCCATATCTCCGTAACGGCGCGGCGAATCCGCACCAAATTCGAGGGATCTCTTCAGTTCAAGGAACCCTCTCGAACACGAATCGAGTGTACGTCTCAAGGCCCTCTTTCGAATGAGACCACCCCCCCGTCGATAGGGTTCGGGAGTTACGGGTGGTTAAATTCGCGGTCTGGCGCCGACAGATCTAGCGATCCCGGTGGGCTACCGATGCGCGGAGGGTGGCGTTCGAAATTGCATACATTAATAACCGTGAAAACTAAACCCATTTAATGCCATTAACTGCCAAATTACATTCAAAATACAAATATATCAATAAAAAAATAAAATAAAATTACAAAGATCAGTTTCACATTACTTTAAAAAAGGTAAATAGTACAAAACTAAAACTAAGGCATAAATCTAAATAGTAATACAAATAATAATAATACCTAAACATTGCCTTTTATGTCGTGCAACTTAACTTTCTAGTTTCAGCCTAACTAAAGCTCAAGCATGACATGAGCCTTCACTGTCTTCTTGGAAGGCTTTGTGGCTTTTGTGAGAAGCACACATCAGTGGAGAGGACGCTAACTTTGAACAAGAACAAGAGTCTGTACATGTCTGTACATGTACTCTTAAATGTCATATACGTGTGTGTGTGTGTGTGTGTATGTGTGTGTCACAGAGAGAGAATGAGACAATCAACATGAATGGCACTTAGTCTTTCACAAAACATAGCTAACGTAGGGCCATCATAACTAGCCACCATATTGATTTACGGTCTTAAATATGTCCAGTGTTTATCAGTTAGTGCGTCAGTAATAATGGTCCGTGGGGAAACACAGTGTTCTGTGTGTAGTTACATTAAATGGACTAAATAATTTACCTCTGATTTGCCTAATATTTGTGTCACCATTTCTTTAAGTCACAGTATATGAAGCTGCAGCTCTCATTCACACAGAGACACACATATTCAATAGCAGTGTTTTTGAGCTTTAATATTCACAGGCACTAGTCCATATCATCATGCCAAACTCCATGACATTCCATGCTGTATTGTAAATTCCATTCTGGATTCTGGACTGGATTCCATTCGTGTTGTCTGTATTGTGGAAATCATAGGGCCCTGCATACAGCCACACATTTGCTGTCATATCCAATAGAAAATACAGCTGTATCAGATATACATTCTAACAATCATAACAGTCACACATCAGGGATCTGGAAATAAACTTGTTTCTAACATAGAGATTCTTCAGCATTCATCATTAGTTTACAATCACGGTTGTGTTTAGTAAATCAATACTATAATACAAAGTACAATATGAAAAAGTATTGTAGCATTTGGCTTTTTATTATTAGTAACTGAAAAGCAACTGCTATCAAACTTTTCTTGTGTTTTGTAGTTTAGTTTAGTTCAGTGTGTGGAAGGTGTTCGGAGTAGGGTTGGGTATCGAAAACCGGTTCCATTTTAGAACCGGGTATTCGATAAGACGCCTGCATTTCGATTCTGCTTAACGATTCCTGCATTCGCATTTTAATGTGATTAAAAACTATTTAAGTGCAGGAACGGAAAGAACGTGCACCCTGTTTGCGTGCAGCGCACACGAAGAGAACAGAGGTCGGTACGGGTGTATTTCCACTGTAGAAAAGGTTGTTCCGGGCCGAAACTGACGACTTTCATATTTGTCGACCAATATGCAGAAAACTAGGTCAGTATACCATCATAAACACAGCCGTTTTTGTCTTACGTGAACGTAAACCGATGAGAAAGAAAACACACATGTACAGTATTTTTAGATCTGCATGCGTTCGGTGTTAAAGAGACAGCTGCCTAATCAACGTGCTGCCTGTCATTAATGTTAATCTAAGAACAAAAGAAAATCATTCACTGATCTTGACTGAATATATTTAATAACTTTAATTGATTAATCTATATTTTATTTATGAAAAGAAAACTATGCAGTGTTTTTAAACTTTTAATTACAGTTTCTGTACCTGACCAGTGTTTATCAGTTAGTGCGTCAGTAATAATGGTCCGTGGGGAAACACAGTGTTCTGTGTGTAGTTACATTAAATGGACTAAATAATTTACCTCTGATTTGCCTAATATTTGTGTCACCATTTCTTTAAGTCACAGTATATGAAGCTGCAGCTCTCATTCACACAGAGACACACATATTCAATAGCAGTGTTTTTGAGCTTTAATATTCACAGGCACTAGTCCATATCATCATGCCAAACTCCATGACATTCCATGCTGTATTGTAAATTCCATTCTGGATTCTGGACTGGATTCCATTCGTGTTGTCTGTATTGTGGAAATCATAGGGCCCTGCATACAGCCACACATTTGCTGTCATATCCAATAGAAAATACAGCTGTATCAGATATACATTCTAACAATCATAACAGTCACACATCAGGGATCTGGAAATAAACTTGTTTCTAACATAGAGATTCTTCAGCATTCATCATTAGTTTACAATCACGGTTGTGTTTAGTAAATCAATACTATAATACAAAGTACAATATGAAAAAGTATTGTAGCATTTGGCTTTTTATTATTAGTAACTGAAAAGCAACTGCTATCAAACTTTTCTTGTGTTTTGTAGTTTAGTTTAGTTCAGTGTGTGGAAGGTGTTCGGAGTAGGGTTGGGTATCGAAAACCGGTTCCATTTTAGAACCGGGTATTCGATAAGACGCCTGCATTTCGATTCTGCTTAACGATTCCTGCATTCGCATTTTAATGTGATTAAAAACTATTTAAGTGCAGGAACGGAAAGAACGTGCACCCTGTTTGCGTGCAGCGCACACGAAGAGAACAGAGGTCGGTACGGGTGTATTTCCACTGTAGAAAAGGTTGTTCCGGGCCGAAACTGACGACTTTCATATTTGTCGACCAATATGCAGAAAACTAGGTCAGTATACCATCATAAACACAGCCGTTTTTGTCTTACGTGAACGTAAACCGATGAGAAAGAAAACACACATGTACAGTATTTTTAGATCTGCATGCGTTCGGTGTTAAAGAGACAGCTGCCTAATCAACGTGCTGCCTGTCATTAATGTTAATCTAAGAACAAAAGAAAATCATTCACTGATCTTGACTGAATATATTTAATAACTTTAATTGATTAATCTATATTTTATTTATGAAAAGAAAACTATGCAGTGTTTTTAAACTTTTAATTACAGTTTCTGTACCTGACATTTTGTTCAGGTGTATTTATGATATTGCTAATTGATTTGTTTGTTCCTATCTCATTACTGACTGTTTACTTGTCTTTAACACTTTAATATTTGACATTTATATTAATCTAGTTCTTTTTGCTGTGGTATTTTTTTCAAAGCATAGGCAAAATTCCTCTTTGCTCGTGTTATTCAGCTGCCACAGAATGCTTTGTAAAAAGACAGAATAAATGTTTGATAAATGTTTTTTATCTTATTGGAATCGAAACTAGGAAACGATAAGCAAAATCGGAATTGATCAAATTCAAACGATACCCAAACCTAGTTCTGAGTCTCTGTGTGTTTTCCGCAGATAAGTCTTTAAAGACTGGCGTGTTGTTTGTGTGTGTGTTAGTGTGCCGGGCGTGATGACGACAGAGGTGGGATCAGAGACAGACGTGAAGAAGGAACCGGAGAAGGTTCCTGAAGTCCAGCAGCAGACAATGCATTTGTTTTTGTTCATTAAGGATGCATTAAATTGATTAAAAGTGACAATAAAGACATTTGTAATGTCAAAAGATTTATTTTTCAAATAAATGCTGTTCTTTTGACCTTTCTGTTTGTCAAAGAATCCTGAAAAAAAAAGTATCACAAAATGTATCCTGTTTCCACAAAAAAAAAACAGTTTTCAGCATTGATAATAATCTGAAATGTTTCTTGAGCAGCAAATCAGCATCTTAGAATGATGCTGCATTGCAACCTTGCAACCAAATGCAACCTTGGTGAGCAGAAGAGACTTCTTTCTGAAACATTACAAATCTTGCCAACCCCAATCTCTTGAACGGCAGCATGTGAGCGATTTGCTTGAACTAAGAAGACATTTGACTAAATCTTGGACTGAATCAAATGAGTTCATTTCACACTGCTGGATGGAGTGTTTATTTTCACAGTTTTTTTGTCATGTCATGTTCATTCATTTTAATCTTTCACTCTGATCTAATTTTAGTTTTAAAATTAGTTTTAAAAGGACATTTTATGTGTCAAAACGCAAAATTAAACGGGTCATATGATGTTGCTAAAAAGAACATTATTTTGTGTATTTGGTGTAATGAAATGTGTTTATGTGATTTAAGGTTCAAAAAACACATTATTTTCCACATACTGTACATTATTGTTTCTCCTCTATGCCCCGTCTTTCTGAAACACGTTGATTTTTACAAAGCTCATCGTTCTGAAAAGCGAGGTGTGCTGTGATTGGCCAGCTATCCAGTGCGTTGTGATTGGCCGAATACCTCACGCGTGAGACGGAAATGTTACGCCCCTCACCATACTGTGATTCCCCGTCCGCCGGAGCGACGAGACAAAAACATTAAAACCCATTATAAACGAGGCATTTGTTGCATCCAGTGGGGACATAATTACTGATTTTACGCGATGCATTAAATATAAAAAACGTACTTACAGTCTGTGAGTCAGAACAGCCGGCATTGTAGTCTACTCTCCCAGGATCAGGAAACGGTCCTCCATAAAATGCGCTGCACACATCTGAATATTTGGGTTGAAGTGTTCTGGAACAGTGTTGTAAATACAACTTAACCACTGATTTCTAGTCGTGTCCTCTTTTGGAAGCCCAAACAAAGTAGTTTCGCTTTCACAACGAAAGAGTGCGTGGCGGCTGGAGGCTAGAGAAGGGTGCGGCCGGAGGATTCAACGAAGGAGGCTTGCGGCAACCACATGTGATGACCCGGGCTGGACTCCGCTTTGTTCACGGTGAAAGCCGATTCGGCGATCCACAGAGTGAAGTTGATGTATTCCCTCAGCGACCAGCACGGATCAGCTCTAGGCATGACGAAGCGAATATCGTCCTCTTTTGGAAGACCAAACAAAGCAGTTTCGCTTTCACAACGAAACACACAGCGCCTTCACGACATGGCGGCAACAATACTACAGCGAGAATAAAAGTTACGCCGTCTTTCTTTGCGTGAACATTTGGGCGGCGTTATGCAAATCTTCCCACATAGTGATGTAGACATGTGGGGGCATGTTAGAACGAGCCGTTTTAGGCAGGCGTGGTTGACTCTTAACTTTTATAAAGAATATCTCTTTGGATTTACAGATCTTCTTTATGCACCAAGAGCTTGTATCACTTCAAAGAGAAAGGAAAAATTTAAATCGCATCATATGACCCCTTTAAGACAATTTTTAAACTTAAGATTTTATTTATTAATTTAAACTTTTTATCAATATTTTATTAAAAGAAAAAAAAAACACTTGCAGCTCAGATGGTTATGCCTGACATTGACGGTGATTGGAGTGTTTGAAACAATTGCATTCCTTTTAGATGCTTTATTTTTCAGAAAAAAAATTTCAGTTTTATTTTTGTTTATGATTATAATCAAGCAGTGTTCTTGGAGCTCGTCTGCATATCTGCTGGTTAAGCTGATTGCTCACTTCCTGCAGCAGCTTCTGGTGTTCACTGCAGATCGTTCAGGCATCATCTCCTCAGAAAAACCTGCATGCGATGGGTCTGTAGTCCAGATCTGATGCTGAACATGACGGAGGACTCCAGATGCGCTCGCGCTCCTGCACATGACGCCTTAAGCTGATTGCTCACTTCCTGCAGCAGCTTCTGGTGTTCACTGCAGATCGTTCAGGCATCATCTCCTCAGAAAACCTGCATGTGATGGGTCTGTAGTCCAGATCTGATGCTGAACATGACGGAGGACTCCAGATGCGCTCGCGCTCCTGCACATGACGCCGTCAGAATAAACGCTTCCTTACGCAACACGCTTCAGCCAAAACCCATCAGTCATCTCTCCATTCCTTCAGCATCCGCCCAGTGACATCATCCAGCAGCCATCCGCTCCACTGGAAAACACGAGAGCGCCCATGTGTGTGTGTTAACCTAAAGTGTGTGTGTGTGTGTCTGCAGCCTGTGAGAGAGGAGAAAGAGGGCGAATCGGAGGTGGAGGAGAAGAAAGAAGAGGAGAAGAAAGAAGAGGAGAAGAAAGAAGAGGAGAAGAAAGAGGAAGAGAAGAAAGAGGAAGAGAAGAAAGAGGAAGAGCAAGTGATCAAGCAGGAGGCGAGTGTTCTGTCAACACTTAAAGTCAACAAGAAGATGAAGATGGTGGTGTGTCACGTGACCCTGCTGGATGGCAGCCAGTTCTCCTGTGAGGTGGAGGTAAGACACATCTATCCATCCATCCGTCCGTCTGTCTGTCTGTGCATATTAGCGGCTGGATGTTGTGATGTTGAAGTCATTCTACTTTACAACAAATTAGTTGGTAACACTTGCATGAGTTGGATGGCTGTTAAAGTCCACATCACAATCTAGTCTGGTTCCATTTCCTGTCCTAATTCATGTTAGTGGTCTGATTGTGATCAGCTGTCTGTCAGTGGTTGTGCTGTGTGGACGCTTTCAGTCGTCATGTTGACCGTAGGTGAGGGGTCAGATGACGGGTCATTCAGTTGAAAGCTCTTCTCCAGTCTGTCTGTTTCACTGCTATTTATTTTATGATAATTTAGGGTGTTAATAGGCCTGCTGTGTAGGTGGAGATATGTGTGTGTTGGTTGGATTTGTCTATATAGTCTGATAATCAGCGCAGGTGAGATCTGACATGCCCAACAGCATCAGCTCCACAGCAGCACGACTCATTATGACTGTATCTGTCAGCAGTGTTAATGTAGTGCTGGGCGGTATGACCAAAAATGTATATCACGGTATTTTTCAAAATTATACCGGTTTCACGGTACATGACGATATTTTTTTTTCATGTATGACCGGGTGTTAACCATATCTTCTACTGATTGAGAGGAAATACTGCAGTATATTGACTTAGAATGCCCTATTTTACTGTCATGATGAGTGAATATTGTCCAAAAATACCACACTAAATAGTGACTAAACACGACCCCCTTTAATACATGTTAACCAGGAGTCACTCTCATTTATAATCACGGCATCGTCTGATAAAATCAACATGCATCTACACTAAAAAGTGGCTATGCGTTTGTTTTGGCTATATTTCTTTTTTGTCTCGTGCAGCGCGTTACTTTTTAAATACTTGAAATAAAGTAAGTATCAAAAACAGTAAACAAAAACCAAATAGTAAATCTCACACACTCACATCATTAACACATCCCTTCACACTGGTGTTTTTCCCTCAGCATTTAAACGGGCTCGGATAATCCCACTACTTAAGAAACCCACCCTTAACCCAGCACTTTTAGAAAACTACAGACCCCAGATCCCTTCTTCCATTCAGTGCAAAAACACTTGAACGAGCTGTGTTCAACCAAGTCTCTGCCTTTCTCACACAGAACAACCTCCTCGACAGTAACCGGTCTGGTTTCAGAAGTGGACATTCAACCGAGACAGCCTTGCTCTCAGTTGTTGAAGCCCTAAGACTGGCAAGAGCGGATTCCAACTCTTCAATACTTATTTTGCTTGATCTGTCCTCTGCTTATGTCATGGTTAACCACCAGATCCTCCTGTCAACCCTATTGGCAAAGGGCATCTCAGGAACCGCACTCCAGTGGTTTGAGTCTTATCTCTCAGATAGGTCCTTCAAGGTATCTTGGAGGGTTGAGGTGTCCAAGTCACAACATCTAGCTACTGGGTTGCCTCAGGGCTCAGTTCTTGGACCAATTCTCTTCTCTTTCTTCATGGCATCACTAGGTTCTGTCATTCAGAAACATGGCTTTTCATATCACTGCTATGCTGATGACACTCAACTCTACCTCTCATTCCAGCCTGATGATCTGTCGATAGCTGCTCGCATCTCAGCTTGTCTAACAGACATTTTTAACTGGATGAAGGACCATCACTTTCAACTCAACCTTGCCAAGAAAGATCTGCTTGTGGTTTCATAAAGCCCATCACTTCATCATAATTTCACCATCCAGTTAGGCACAACAACCATAACTCCTACAAAAACAGCCAGAAACCTTGGAGTTTTGATTGATGATCAGCTGACTTTCTCAGACAACATTGCTGAAACTGCCCTGTCCTGCAGATTTGCTTTATACAACATTAGAAGATCAGGCCCTTTCTTTCAGAACATGCTACACAACTCCGTGTTCAAGCTCTTCTTCTGTCCAGGCTGGACTATTGCAATGCTCTCGTGGCAAGACTTCCAGCCAGTTCTATCAAACCTCTGAAACTAATTTGGCAGCAAGAGTAGTCTTTAACGAGCCAAAAAAAAAGAGTCACACCTAGGGGTGTGCGATATATATCGTCTGCGATTAATATCGTAATTGTTGTTTTAGCGATGTGCGATTTGATTATCGAGTATTTAGCAAAAACCATTCAAAACATCGCTACAGAGCACACGCATACATTATGTGAAGTCTAGACTAGTGCGAGTGCGTATTTAGTGTGTTTTCTTTCACTGCATGATTCAGTCTATTAAAATGCATTTAGAATTATCACAAATTCAAGACATGATGGCAGACAATTTATATATTTATACCACTTCATATAGTTATTCAATTTCACACGAAGAGTGCCGTTTTTTCTCCAAAAATTACCGAATACTGAATACACACAGAATAGGAAGAACATTAAAAACATTAGGAGTCAGCTGTCTTCGGCAGTCCTTAAGGTACCAGCACAATAACACACTCAGCAAAATATCGTCTAATTATCGTTATCGATAAAATCCCATAAAATATCGAGATATAATTTTTTGTCAATATCGCACACCCCTAGTCACACCTCTGTTCATCAATTTGCACTGGCTACCAATAGCTGCTCGCATAAAATTCAAGGCACTGATGTTTGCCTACAAAACCACCCCTGGCTCTGCACCCCTTTCCCTAAATTCACTACTTCAGACTTATGCGCCCTCTAGAAGCTTGCGTGAACAATGCATTTTAGTGCCATCCCTAAATCCCAAATTGCACCATTTTGCAATACAGCTTATTGTCTGATGCCATATTAGATAAGTGCATTTGGTCTTAATATGACAGCAGCCTAATATACCTGCTGTTGTCTGTGGCGTTATTGTTAATCAAACAACAAAAGACAAAGAGAAAATTATATCTAAATTTATATATGACAGTCGTTTTTAGTCATTTTTGCTGGAAATAACAAGAGCAGTGAATGGTTTTCTTTTCTCTTTGTCTTTTGTTGTTTTATTGACAAAAATGACACAGACAGCAGCAGGTATTTTAAGCTGGTGTCACTTTGAGAAGCAATGCACTGATCTACTATCCTGATGCATGTCCACCCAACTGACTTTTTGTATATGAAAACGTACATAAAGATAGGAATTTGGGATTTGTAATTGTGCAGAACAAAAACACAGGCTTTGAAATACTCATCCTCTGATTGGCCATTGGTTTCATGTGCTCAACAGACTGTGACATACCATGACATGTCTGTGATTGGCTACAACACTCAACGCTTTAAAAAACACACACGGTGCACACGCTGTAAATGGAAACCTTCACACAGTGCCAGATGTCTTCACAGAACACTGATACACACAGGAGCATTTAAAAGCATGATATGTTTATAAAATGTTTAATTATTACACATTTTAATAAATTATAAGATATTAGAAAACGACATCTATTTATCTCAAATAGTATGTTAAGAACTAGTTAGACATCTGTGCTATGTGAAGGCTATCACAGTAAATCTAATCGTCCGAACAGGAGAGCATGTTGTCAGAGGCTGAAGTGAAAAGCAGTGCAGGTGAGTGTTGGGATATGATTGATGGTTTGGGCTCTCATTACGGGCCGCTCTGTGAGCTCTGAACAGCCTCTGCTTTGTCCCGTCACCGGAAAGTGCTGAGGCATCGCTAAGCGCCATTGTCCTGGTGTATTCATGCATGAGACGGTGGCATGTTTGCTCAGAGATGAGCGCCACTGTCTCCGGGTCGCCTGGATGCATAAGCCGCAGCTTCACACAAAGCATTCCAGACGTGACGCTTTATGGGGACGTGGGGACAATGAGGGCTCTCAGGACTGCTCAACGACCCCGCATGGATGTTAGGAGCGCTACCGCACCATATTTTTGTGTTTCTGTCCTGATGGCAGGATAGATTCTTGTCTCTATAGAAAGCGAATAGACGATTGACAGGAACTCTCAGCCAATCAGAGTGCAGTGACCTATATAACAGCAGGATGCATATGGCATTATGTTTTTAATGCTGTAAATGCAGAGATCCTGTCCCTGAGTGTGTTTTCGTGGAAGCATGTTTTTGTTTTCATGGCGGTGCGGTATATTGAGTAATTTGGCCATCATGAGGAGACGGAGACCCTGATCTGGGCTCTCTGAGGCCTCAGCTGTGTTTGACGCTAATGCTTCAGGACGTTCATTCACAGCCACTCTCTGTGGTTTCTCCTGTTCGTCCCCGATCCTGTGTAAACCCTGCTCAAACATCCCGTCAGTGATTCTCTAGGACTTTACAATGAATTTATTCATGCTATTATTGAGTCTGCAAGTTCTCTTTTGTTCTCATTCATCTTCTTTCTTTCATCGTGTTCTTTTAGGCTTTGGCTGTCATTCATTCATGTACTCTCTCTAATCCTTTAGTTTATTTTCTTTCTCATAGATCTAGTCTGCTCATGCATGTCTCTCTGAGCATGTAATCTTATAGCTGCTAGGCATTTGCTCATAATAATCCAAATGCATCCTTCACTTCTGTACATGAGTAACAGCAGCTCATACAGCTCCTCCCTAAGACTTGAGTACCTGGCCGTTTATCTGTTAAGCCTATAAAGCATACTGTATCATATTTGAAATGCTGCAGATTTTTTAGATTTTTCAACATGATCAAAATCTGTGATACACAATCTACTCCACTACTTCTGTCGTCTGATTGATAGTTTGTATTTTTTTTTCTCCAGTAAAAGCTCTTTTAGTGTAATTGTAGAAACGTCCTGCTTCAGTGTCTTTCTGCTGTCAAATATTGACTGATTTTTATCAAGTAAACATCAAAATAACTGTAGTCATATTTCCAGATGAACACTTACTGGACTGAAGCAGCTCAACTTGATTCTCCAGACATTCATTTTTTTTTTTAGAAAAGTCTCAAATCTGATCATCAGGATTGTTTGTTCATTTCTCAGTCATCATTGCATTGCATTGCATTAACAAACTAAGCATTTAGATGTTCTCCCAACTGTTTATATTCACTTAAGACAGAACTGACTGCTTGGTTTACATGAATACTCACCAAGAAATGCATTTTGACACAATTGTTTGTGAATTTGACTCTTCAGTGCGCATTCTTCCAAATGTAGTTTTTATTCTCCCCAGGAGCGTATTATGCTTTTATTAACTTCTTTTAGTATCACACATCTCCTGCACTTTATTTCCATGTTCATCCATATATCATCATCATCCTAGTTGTCACTGTTTATTGGCTAGTAGTGCTTTACTGTGGTGAAATCATCCCACAGTCACTTCCTTTACTCTGGATCAGGATCATCTGACATTCATGCTCTCCTCGTGTGTGTGTGTGTGTGTGTTGAGCAACACAAGTGATGTTTCTGCTCTGGTTTGTTGTTCCGACACCATAGACACACGTCTCCACCCATGAGCACCTGCGGCTTTCTGTGGCCATCGACACGTTATCATCAGAGAGCCGTGCTGTGTGTGATACTCTAGTGTTTGTTGGATCTCGCCGTTCACCTAATGCACTTCACCAATGCAGGAACAGCCATTATCGATCCACTGCAAACTGAAATCCATTAGCTGTGTGTTTGTGTGTGTGTTGTGTTTACAGAGCGTAATGTCTGATCTCTCATCAGTAAATCTGCTGCGACTGGGATTAGTTTATGTAATTGCATCCATAACAGCAGCTTATGGTGTTCTGTGTGTCGTGTCATAACCAAACAGATTAATACTCTCTCACTGTTTTTGTTTATGTGCGTGTAGTTGATATGAGACTTAAACTGACACCTGGCACAGATGCAGCATCAGATGTTGTTGCTGTCAGCCATTCCTAATTTATTCCATGAAAAGAAGTGTCTGACAACATAAATGCATATAATTATAGACTCCTGTGTTTCACAGTCACACATAGGCTATGGCTTTTTGGTGAGGTTTAAAGGGAAAGAGCACTTTTAGATAAACAAGGCAGTAATAGATGGCACTCGTGGAGGTAGGAAAACAAAGTTCTTTATGAACCGCAGGGTTGCTTGTAATAAAGATTTCAATGCAAAAGAAAAGGCAGTAGAGCTGACTGTTTCTGTCAATTGTAAGTTTTAATTTAGAATGTTTGTGATAATGTAAGAAAAGTAGTTTTAATGTTTTGCCACTTGCTTGAGCAACTTAGTATATCAATATAAAAGTACATGCAAAAGTAAAAAGCATTGAATAATGTGTTGCTTATATTTATTGTGTTTAAACATGTCTATGAAAGATTGTATAACTGTACTGTGTAAAAAAAGAATCACAATGTTGAAAAAGCATTTTCAGTGACAATGTTTGGATTTTAACTCAAAATGGATAAATGTGTTTGTAAACGGCCCTGGATCAGTTGCAGACTCTTGTGTGAAAGCACAGTCCGTGCTGCTTCTGCACTGCTTACGTACCGCACATAGACTGCATACGCACTGCAAACGGAGTATGTGTGAACCTCATATACAGCTCACCAAATCAGGCTTGCGCTGTGTGTAAGCCATTGTGTAACAACTGCACGATTGTCAAAACAAAAATGCACTGCATGATCAAACATTTAGGTGAGATAAATATATTTTTGAAAAATGTCCCCCTCCACCCCTCAAATGAAAAAATCCCCTCTCACAGGCGTCTCCTAAGAGGGGAAACCATTTTCAAAGTTCAGGCCCTGAATAAAAAATCTTGATTGGATCATCACTATAAATAATTCTACATGGCTTAGAAAAGATCTAAGATCGAAAGATCGAAGGTCTGTGATCGTATCGGCAGATATTGCTTTCTGTGATCGGCCTCAAAAACCCTGATCGGAGCACCCCTACTACAGTAATATTTAATATTGTCTTGTTTGAGATTTGGGGCCGATAATGTGTGCAAAGCATCATGGGGTGTGAGACATAGGTGGATGGATAACTACATTTAAGTTTTTGTTTTGTTGTGGTTGCAAAAACCTTGACTTGTTAAAAGCTGTGCATAAGCGCTTGAACACATGGGATGTCTGACAGATGAGTGCAGCGCTGTTCTCTGTCTTCAGATGTTCCTCAGTGACTAATGCTGTTGAGCTCAACCAGCCTCTCATTCCTCAGGAGTCACACACACTCACACTCACGCTGACCACTTCAGCCCACTGTCTGCCAGTGTCCAACAGGCCCATTATGACCCGGCGCTTCAGAGCGATTTTACAGGAATACTTTACATACCAGCCAAAAATCATACTTCTGTCCTCATTTACTCACCATTATAGTCTTTCTTTCATAGAATCTAAAAAGCTGTCTATATACAATGAAAGTTTGTTTTGGACCCCATTTACTTACAGGTTTGGAATGTCATGAGAGCATGAGAGTGAGTCAATTATGACAGAGAATGGTCTGTGTGAGTAAAGTGTGTTCATATCTTTCTTCTTCATTGTCTCTCTAGAAACGGGCGAAAGGCCAGTACCTGTTTTTTCAAGTCTGCGATCACCTGAATCTGTTGGAGAAGGATTACTTCGGCCTGAGCTTTAAAGACAACGCCGAGCAGAGCGTGAGTTCACTCGCTAACACACAGAAACATCACACAACACACACTGACGTTATCCATGCCATGTGTTTGTGTTCATGTTCAGTGCATGAGCTGATAGAGTGAATAAGAATTTCGGAAACAACAAAACACATCTGAACGCCATCGTGACTCATGCTCTGTATTGGAATGATGTTTTGTGAGGAACAGAGCCCAGTTTAAATGGTTATTAAGTTGTCTGTCCTGTGAGATCACAATGTCACTGGCTCTCCTCCAGAACACTGATGCCAAACAAACACTGATACTGATGTGCTGAGATCAAACCCAAGACTGTGCCGTGATCAGCAGCAGATCAGTCTCATCAGTCTTTGTATTGCTGTTGGTGGTGAAGCGTGAAGTTGATGATAAAAGTGTGTGCGTTTACTTTAGAGGTGCATCATGGGATTGGCCAGGCATGTTGTTTTTCTAGTTCTGTGAGTAGATTTTGTTATCAGTCGTTCAGTGCAGCTGATTGAGCCAGTAATCGAGGCCATATGTTTCAGACACGTCTTTGAGCCACTTTAGTAGCGCCCTATGAAATCTGTTTATTTTTTCTTATTTCTTTAACTTTTCCCCTCCTAATTCTGTGGTTTAATTCAATGTTAATATTTAGAAAGGGTGTTTAATCAGTTAAATTCATAAAGTAACTTTACTTTTATTAATTTATTAACATTTTAATAAGAAGTTATGTTTTTGTGTTTTATGATTTAATACAAATGTATTACCAAAAAATGTCGGTTATCAAACAAATGAATAAGACTAACAATTTAATTAATATTTACAAATGTAATCAAATGAAATTTGAACAATTACTTTAATTTTTTAGTAAACAAAGTACTTCACATCCAGTGTTGGGTGTAACTAGTTACTAAGTAATTACTTACAGTAATTGAATTACTGTAGAACATTTATATTCAATACAATACAATAGTGGGTTTAACATCAAAATTTAAAGCCTAACCTTAAAATGCATGCTTTTTATGTACCCTTCGCACTTCAAATACTTTGGTGAGTTAATAAGAATATTGGTAACACTTTAGTGTCCAATTCTCACTATTAACTAGTTGGTTATTAGCATGAATATTACTGGGATATTGGCTGTTTATTATGACTTAAAAAGCATTGCAAGACCTTATTCTAAATCCTTAATCCTTGAACCTAATCTAAAGTGTGACCAGAATAAATTTATTTTTATTTTATTTATTATTATTTATTTGAAAGAATTAAAAGAACCGTCTCATGTCTGTCCTTGTATCATTCATTAACTTTGATATAGGATTTGATATTCCACCTTTCACAGTAAATTGCATTTTTATTACTGGATTCTGGGATTCCTCTGCTTTTTCTGCATCATGAAAATCATAGTTTGCTTTAGTTGTGTGTATGAGCATTTTAAAGAGATTCATTAACTGAGATTTTTGGAGGAATTTGCACACCATACAAAGCAAAGTGCGCAATGTAATAGAATAATGCAAACAGCAAAGAAGTGTAAATGAAAAATGGGTTGAAATGCAATCACAAAGTATCTGAATCCAGGGTCAGGTTGAGGTGAATGTGAATGCACGGAGACAGCGATGTGTTTGAGGACTCTCTTCCTCACAGCAGAGTCAGAGCTCCGAGCTCAGGTGCTGTGTTCAGTGCTGCGGTGCGACTGACTCCTCTGTGTTTCTGTGTTGCAGTGCTGGCTGGACCCCACCAAGGACATCAAGCGGCAGATCCGCAGTACGTGCTTCTCTTTCTCTTCATGAGGTGGTCTGGGTGGGTTTGAGTAACTGACAGTATGACGGACTCCTCGCACACATCTGCAGCTGGAATAGCTGTAATTATCAGAGTGCTGGAATGACGCACATGGGGTGGAGTGAGAGCGGATTCCTCATTCACACCACACAAACACAATCAAAACCATCAACAAAACACTGATGCCTGCTGTCAGCTGACTGGTTCATTATTCTGATGTTTCATCTTCAGAATGACGTGCGGCATATGTGACCCTGGACCAAAAAAACAGTCATAAGGGTCCATTTTTTTCATCTGAAAGCTGAATAAATAAGCTCTCCATTGATGTATGGTTTGTTAGGATAGGACAATATTTGGCTGAGATACAACTATTTGAAAATCTGGAATCTGAGGGTGCACAAAAATCTAAATATTAAGAAAATCATCTTTAAAGTTGTTAGCAATGCATATTACTAATCAAAAATTAAGTTTTGATATATTTAGGAAATTTACAAAATATCTTCATGCAACATGATCTTTACTTAATATCCTAATGATTTTTGGCATAAAAGAGAAATGTATAATGTTGACCCATACAATGTATTGTTGGCTATTGCTACAAATATCCCCCAGCGACTCAACACTGCTTTTGTGCTGCAGGGTCACATATGTTTTTTGTTGAGTTTCATATTTGATGCATCAGGCTTTTTTATTTAGAAGCCCAAACTGAGCAAAAATATGTGATTTGCTGCAGATGTTGATGTGTAGATAATGAAATTCTGATGCTTGTAATGTAAATCAGTGAGATCTTTACAGTGCAGCGGATACTAACATAAAATGCTCTGAATATCAGCGGTCGCTCTATATCTCCAGTAATCTGTCTCAGTGAGACGAGGCTGAAATGCTCCAAACATATAATGCAGTGATTGAGAGCTGAAGAAATAAAGGCTCCTCAGAAGATGTGAGATGTTCTGGAGGCTTGTGAAGATCATTCCTCCGCTGAGGAACAGTGAAAGTAAAGCTTCTGGAAACAAACGCTCCTCAAAAGATCCTGAGGATCAGATTTGAGACTCTAAAACATGATTGATGGAGAATCAAGTAAAGCTGAGCTGCTTCAGTCCAGTAAGTGTTCATCTGGAGATATTACTGCAGTTATTCTGACCTTTACTTGATAAAATCAGTCAAGATTTGACAGCAGAAAGACACGAGAAGCTCCAGCTGAAGGTAAAACTCTAAACTATCAGTAGCTTTACAGGGTTGATGTCTGCTTTTATGGCCTGGACTGCGGTGAGTGAGTGTGTGCTGAACACTTGCTGTTCACTCTGAAGTGTGCCATTGTTTGACATGCAGTCAGGTGCTGTATATATGAGACACACACACAGGTGAATCAGACGTCTTATCTGCTGTTATGACTCAGTCTCTGCGTCTGTAGAGTGTCTGGAGGAGAGCTGAAAATAGAAAAACAGGACAGACTGAGAGAGAGAGAGGAAACGCACAAGAGCAGCTCTCCTTCTGAAGGACACGTCTATAAAAACGGCAGCTGTGTCCTCGTTTCCAGAGACTCTCACTGAAACAATGAGGTTGAGTTTGCTGCGCTGCGTCCTGACCTCTGACCCCCGAGTCAGCTCACAGCACAGTGACCTGAACCAATTCCACTCATTCTGCCATGTGCTTTATGTGGGCAGCTCTCACCCTAATCAAACATAAGCTAAACAACCTAATTAAGACCTTCATATTTACTATAGGCGACAAATACAGGTTGAAGGTAAACTCTTAAGGAAATCTCGAGGGCCTTATGCTTCTGGGATGGGGTCTTTTGACTTGGTCCAGTAAGCACCTTTGCATCGGTTTACTATAATTACTATAACTTATTTTATATGCAGGCTGTTTTCCAGTAAGATCTTCAGTCAGTGGTTATGTCATGATCAAACATGAACGCTGCTTTGTCACTGGATCTAAAGTAGTGGTTCCTGTTCATATTTTCCTTATTCAAGTTTCACTCACCATCGAAAAAATATCACTTGAAATGAAATAAATGTTAACTGAAACTAGTTGTTAATGCATCATTTGCATTTAGTTTAATTTGATGTACTAAAGTAATTAAAACTGAAATGAAATTTGATAAAAGCTATACAGAAAAAAAACTAAATCTTTCAAATTAAATTGAAAATATAATAAGAAACTAATTCAGAATATTAATAAAAAATATAATAGTCTAAAAACTAAAATAACACAAAATCCAGAACACATGAAAGCATATTTCAGTCAAAATTAAACTTTTTGCAAGTACAGTTTACATTTGCTAAACAGTCTAATTTAAAATAAACATTTTGCCCCACTGTGTCCAGAATTTGAGATTTGTCATTTGAGCACATCACTAATGATGAGTTCCCAGCAGCATCATTCATGTCTTCATCATCTTTCTCATCTGTCTGTCTTGGTGTTCCTTCGTTTCTCAGATGAGTTTCTCAATCATGCGTACATATCAGCATGGACTGACCGTGTGACGTAATCTCACTATCCTCAATGACCCACACAACATCACCTTCATCGAAGTAAACTGAAAATCGAATCAGGACGTGTGGAGTATTGAAGTGCAGCATAGACCTTAATCACACTATTACCATCGTGTAGGACTTTTTACCGCATTTTGTGACAGGACACACACACTGCAGTGGTCAACCGTTTGATGGCAAACAAAAGAGGATGGCTTCAACAACCTCGTCGTCTGTTTGCACAGACAGCATGACAAATAATTAACTGCACTTGAAGCTTTCTGTAAATTAAAAATGAAACACCCAAAACTGTTTATGGCAACCTAACGAAGACGAACTATATGTTTATATGTGAAATTCTGGAGGGAACATGAAAGGAATATTCTAAAAGCAACTCATGTAAACACCTTAATTATAATATTGTCTTACTCAGAATAAGGTAAATAATTAGATTACTGGTGTCCATGTAAACGTAGTCATTGTCTTTCAGTATTGTGGCTCATTTCAGCCTTTTAAGCATTCCTGTCTGAATGAAGAACAGCATGAGCTAGTGTTGGCTGACTGATGGACTGAACAGACATCGTAATCACTGCCAGTCCCTCCACCCTACAGCTTTACGGCACATCTGCTAGTGGAAGTTGTGCTTGTTTTCTGGCCTTTATTGAAAACCAAGCGCTCACTCACACTCCTGTGATATTCAGCGGAGCTGGCAGAAGTTTTAATTAGGGCTGGACGATATGGCCAAAATTTATATCATGACAATATTTCTTTATTTTTCTTTACATATCTCTACTTCGGTCGGTATGATATAATTCTGATATCGATATGAACGATATATAAAAAAAAAAAGCCTCAGAAAAACTGCCAAGAACGCCCACAACAGATGTCTGAATTTGAATCTGCCAAGTCTAATGAAGTGTCCTCCTATAAAACTACATAATTTTTTAGAAATACAAACAGTACAAATGAATTAATGTTCACCTATTATTTGTATTTAGCCTTCATACAAAACAAGAAATGTGAAATTACCATCAGATAAACATAAGACTCCCAGACGCACCTTTGGAAGGTATTTAACTTGTTCTTATAGATTGAAACAAAAGTGCTTCAGCCAGGATAAAGAATATGAAAAGTGCTCCGAGTTGCTGCAGAAAACAGAAAGTAGGTTCCCTCCAGAGATACATTCATATAAAACAGTTTTGATTTTGAAATGTGCAACGCTCATGTTTATTCACCAAAAGCCCTATTCGGACGGGACTAGCTTCACAGGGGGTCGTTAGAGAAATGTGTGTTTCACAGGCGTATTTAGCGATTTTAATCCCGTCCAAATTCTGCCACGTCTGTGTTTTTCTCACACAACCTCTGTAATAATTCCAGAGCAAATGACCTACTGTTTTTCTGCAAACTCGGTGATCCTCTGAGAAAACTAATCGGCCGAAAGTGAATGTGTGTGATTGCAGACGATATGTTTTTCACAGCGCGCTTCCTTGTGTGTTTTAGCCAATGTGAATTACCGTAGACGCTCTTACCGCGCGCATGTTTGATATATCTGCCTCCCGGCAAAGAAATAAAAACATAACAATAATAAAATCAAGAGCCAGGTCATGTGAACTGTCAAGACCGGCTACTGTAATATCAGACTCAGTTACTCCCCTTCATTTCTGCATTACATATGTACCTTTATGAAAATTAAACATGGGTTTACTACAAATAAATACAAAAATAAAACCGTTAAACTAAAGTAACCACACATTAACCATGGTTTTGCTGTACTAGCCATATAGCTGCACCATGGTATTTGTAGTAAAACTGTGGTTATACTATCAATCCGAATGACTGTACCCTCGCATCTCTGTAATAAACACAGAGATGTTAGTCTCGTCCGAATCGGTACAAGAAAATCACAGACGTCAGGGGATAAGAATCGAAACTCAAACATATAGGGCTAAAGTCAAGTGCATTGGTAATGTATATTGAAATATCGTAAATGTGTTTAAAGATCATATCACCGTTACTGAAAAAAACAAATATGACGATATATGTTGATATTGAATTATTGTCCAGCCCTACGTTTAATCAGCTCCCATTGTCTTTCTCTGTGTGTTGCATCAGACTCTCAGTGGCAGTTTGTGTTCAGTGTGAAGTTTTACCCTCCGGACCCGTCGCAGCTGACTGAGGACATCACGAGGTACAGAAGCTGGTCACTCTGAAGGCTGCGGTGTCAGTGGGACTGTGGCGGCTCATGGTTTCTCTCCTGGTCTCTGCAGGTATCTGCTGTGCCTCCATTTATGCAAAAATCATTAGGATATTAAGTAAAGATCATGTTCCATGAAGATATTTTGTAAATTTCCTACCGTAAACATGTAAAAACTTAATATACATTGCTAAGAACTTCATCTGAACAACTTTAAAGGCGATTTTCTCAATATTTAGATTTTGAAATAGTTGTATCTCGGCCAAATATTGTCCAACTTTCAGATGATGCATAAATCTCAATTTCGAAAAATTGACACTTGACTGGTTTTGTGCTCTAAAACCATAAACTTAAAATTAAAACGGAAAATATAAAAATAAAACGAAATAAGTTAAACAAATAAAATAAACTTAACTTAAAAAAAACTTTATTTTTATGTAATTTTATTTCAGCTTTTTCATTTTCATTTAGTTTAACTTGATATACTAAAACAACTGAAACTAAATAACAGAAATAAAAATTAAAAAAAGTAGTAAAAAAAACTAGTAAAAATGACTAAAATGTAAAATAATGTGAATATTAATAAACAAAAATGATAGTATCTCAATGATACTAAAATAACACTGCTGTTAGTCTGGTCATGTCTGTCTGTATAAAAAACTCTTTTGAAGAAATATGCAGGGATTGTTGTAAATGTTATATCACACTTTATGCCTGTGTAATGTTTACACTAAGGTTGTGTGCAGCATAGTTCTGATTTTTAAATTGCTCACATTTTAACCGACCTCGTTGTGTTTACACATGAATTATTTCTTATTTTTCTGGACGTGTTGACGTGGTTCTGTCCCGTGAATCTCTATATAGGCTAAGGCTCATCCGCTCTCCTCCGAGTGTCAGAGTTCACTGGAGACCTGCGGCTTTCAGCACTTACTGATGCGCTGATGTGTGAGAGATCAGATGTGTTAAAAGCCTCTCGTGGAGACAGATAGTCTGAGTTCAATCTGTTATCAGCGCTTTTGATTCCTCCCAGAGCTCTACAGTTAACACAGACGGATCAATAATCAGTGCTCCACGGCCCGAAAGCCCCGGCAATAAAGATCCATTTCGGACGTTACATAAACGCATTCAGATAAGTGCTGGAGTGGCAGCAGTGAGCGCCATGATGCATGCCATTTATAATTATATTGAGACACTGAAAGAGTTTGAGTTTGGAGTGATTTATCGTTATTGTGTGTAACAGCGGGTGTCAGTTTCTTCTCTGAAACTTTCTTTACTTCCAGTGTTACTATAGAACTGAGCGACGAGTCCAAATTATTGCAGAAATGTCAGTGATAAACCGGAGCAATCCTGTAAAGCATACTAAAGCAGTGTTTCCTGAAGCTCTCAGAGCAAAACACAGCATAGTCCAATCTAATCATTCACACACAATCAGGTTTTTATTTTATTTGCATGTGACAGAAAGCATTCTGAATGACATGGTTTATGGCTTAAAATATCCCGACCACATCTGAAACGCGTGTTAATTTACATTTAATCATTTATCAGATGCATTTATCCAAAGCGGCTTACAAATGAGGGAAATGGAAGCAATCAAAAAAATAAATAAAAATGAGCAACAATATCTAAGTGTTGTGACGAGTCTCATTTTGTCTAACGCAGTACACATATTTGTTATGATTTAATAATAAAAGTATTATAAAAAATAATATTTATATTATGAATACTATACAAATTTGAGGGGGAAAAATTGCAGAAAACCTATAGGCTGCATCTGACATAACCTCTATTTTGGAATGTCCTTATAAGGTACAAACAAATACAAATGATGTAAATCATTCCAAAATTGCAAAAAGTTATTTTCAGGTGTCTTAAATCTTAGATAAATTGTATAATATTTATTTATATATTTCTCATAAACAATTGAAGTATTATAAAATAAATGGTTTTATATATCTATAATTTCATAAATACACAAAGTTATAATATAAATAATAAAGAAAATTATAAAAGAAGTTAGCAATATTGGGATACACTTTATTTTAACATGAATTAGTTGCATGCTAAATGTACTTAACTATAGTCTTAACAATAAATGATGCATCATCATCACAAGCAACTAACACTATACCAAACCCTAACCCCTTTCTTAACCCCATAATAAGTACATTTATTAATTAGTATTACTCAGTACTACTTTGTCTAATTATACTGTAAAAATGTCACCTTAACATAAAGTGTAACCTGTATTACTGTATTGAAAAGGCAGAAAAATTAAATGTTGGCCAAAAATGACGGTGAAAAACAAAATAAAACATCATACTGGCTAATAACCAAACTTGGGGTGATATATTGAGCAACCCTAATAAAATCAATGTGTGTGTGTGTGTGTGTGTGTGTGTGTGTGTGTGTGTGTTAGTTAATGCAGGCGTCTCAGAGATCTGCGAGTGGCTGCCTTAATTTTTCTAGTAGTTATTCAGATTCGTTCAGTTTTCACTGATCTACTCCTGACGTAAAGCACAGATGTGTCTGAGTGTGAGCAGATCTTGTGCTGAAAGTGGATGCGAATGTCTTTCAGTTAAAGACTGCGTGTCCTCTCTTTTCCCAGGACTCTGAGGGAGTGGATATCATGCTAGGAGTGTGTGCAAACGGTTTGCTAATCTATAAGGATCGTCTGCGGATAAACCGTTTTTCTCTAAAACCATAAACTTAAAATTAAAATGGAAAATATAAAAATAAAACGAAATAAGTTAAACAAATAAAATAAACTTAACTTAAAAAAACGTTATTTTTATGTAATTTTATTTCAGCTTTTTCATTTTCATTTAGTTTAACTTGATATACTAAAACAACTGAAACTAAATAACAGAAATAAAAATTAAAAAAAGTAGTAAAAAAAACTAGTAAAAATTACTAAAATGTAAAATAATGTGAATATTAATAAACAAAAATGATAGTATCTCAATGATACTAAAATAACACTGCTGTTAGTCTGGTCATGTCTGTCTGTATAAAAAACTCTTTTGAAGAAATATGCAGGGATTGTTGTAAATGTTATATCACACTTTATGCCTGTGTAATGTTTACACTAAGGTTGTGTGCAGCATAGTTCTGATTTTTAAATTGCTCACATTTTAACCGGTGTGTGTGTGTGTGTGTTAGTTAATGCAGGCGTCTCAGAGATCTGCGAGTGGCTGCCTTAATTTTTCTAGTAGTTATTCAGATTCGTTCAGTTTTCACTGATCTACTCCTGACGTAAAGCACAGATGTGTCTGAGTGTGAGCAGATCTTGTGCTGAAAGTGGATGCGAATGTCTTTCAGTTAAAGACTGCGTGTCCTCTCTTTTCCCAGGACTCTGAGGGAGTGGATATCATGCTAGGAGTGTGTGCAAACGGTTTGCTAATCTATAAGGATCGTCTGCGGATAAACCGTTTTTCTTGGCCCAAAATCCTCAAGATCTCCTACAAACGCAGTAACTTCTACATCAAGATCAGGCCAGGAGAGGTACGACTGAACAGAAAACTGAGTCTGAGGCTGATCGCAATCACTGTCAGTAATACTGATAACTTGATTTATATGTGTGTGTGTCAGGCCGAGCAGTTTGAGAGCACCGTCGGCTTCAAGCTGCCCAACCACCGGGCCGCCAAACGAGTTTGGAAAGTCTGCGTTGAGCACCACACCTTCTTCAGGTAAACATATCAGCAATACAGCAGAGTTTTTGGTGAGTTGAGAGGCTTTAGGTGGCTGCAGCCTCACAAGACCTGAATCCATCCTGGAGGATGAGCTGTGTGTGTGCGTGCGTGCGTGCGTGCTTTTGTAACATATGAGGACACAAATTTGTATGACATGGGTATTACAGGTATTACAAGGAGAAGGTGACTTATGAGGACATTACCCCATGTCCCCATTGTTCAAAACGCTTATAAATCATACAGAGTGAGTTTTTTTGAGAAAGTAAAAATGCAGAAAGTTTCCTGTAAGGGGTAGGTTTAGGTTTAGGGCAATAGCACATACAGTTTGTACAGTATAAAAACCATTACGCCTATGGGATGTCCCCACAATTCATAAAAACAAACGTGTGTGTGTATGTGTGTGTCTGTGGTAGAGCTGCGTGGTTAATCCTTAAAAGATCGCAATCTCGATTCAAACACCCATGCGATCCCATTTTTAAATGACAGCGTTTCGCCTATGTATTAAACCTTTGAAAAATAATCCAGGAACATTCAAATCGCGCTGCCGCTGACACAGAGAGCAGACAGTTACCATGTTTGGGTAAGAAACCGCTTCACAAACAGTCTTTTCAACCACATAGTATTATTTCTGTCTCACAGGCATTCATATTATCACATAAATGTGTGTGTGTGAGTGTCTGTGTGTGCGTGAGGGAGCGTGAAGGTGGCTGGACATGAACAGGTTGTCGTCTTCTCATGTCATGTGTGCGGTCAGTGTAGCGTATTTGAAGCGCGCACACAGTGAGGGGTGTGTGTGTCTCTAGAGAGCTGCATGACACTTAACCTCACGTGACTTCAGATGCACTGCTGCTCACAATAAGCTGCTCTCTTTTGTGTCCTGTCATATTTTATATTCTATTCTGCTCTGTTTAGTGATTTTTAAACTGAATCCAGTAAAAGTTTTCATTTAGCCAAAAACCAAACATTTAAATTAAACATTAGCCAGTTTTTATATTGACTTTTTAATGATATAATTATGCTTCTTGTCCAATTTCTTTTTGAAATAAAACATATAAACACTGGTTGTAACTTATAATAACTTGTTTTCATGACAGATTTATTCAAACACATTAAATACATTATTTTTTTCTAGCCGATTTTCGAGATTATGGTCATTGAATGTCTTTTCTGAGGCAAATGTGACATTATTGCTCTCAAGCTGTTTTATTGCCATCTTTTTGGCATGGTTGAAACACTGATTACACAAGACATGATTGATTTCAGTAAGTTGTTCTGTTTCTGATGTTCGTTCATGTTTATTTACTGCTGTAACTAGTAGTAAAGACAAAGAGATTATCGATTCATGTGCAGCTTGAACTGATGCAGATACAGTGATCTGTCATGACACATCAAAGTGCATCAAAATTTAGTGAATTTAGTTATAAAATTGACAGAATTTGAATCTATATTGAATCTGAATTTATATCAGAGCACAAAGCTTATTGTTATTATTGGCTGGCAGATGCGCTACACAATGTTTAGTGAAGTTTTGTTCACGCGTCGACTGAAAGATCGTTGTTCATCGAAGTGAAAATCAATTAAAATTGAGAAACTGATATTGTCAACCAGCAAAAGCATCACACAGCTGTGTTCCCCTGTTGTAGTTTATCCACAGTGTGCATGACACTGACACTGTCAAAACGCAACAGCAAAGAAACACTAATTAAACGTCACCGCTTCGGTCAATCATTTCATCCCTTTCTACATTTTTTTTTTTTCACCTGTTTTACCCGAATATATTTTTGGTGCAGTTAATACTACGGGGCCGTTGAATGCTTGAATCTCATTGGTTGACGAATGTTCCAAGGTGTGCAATTATTTTCAGACTAAACAACTAACGACTAAAGTAGTTCCATGCAGCTCTTGACTGCATTACATAATCCATATCACTTCGCCAAATGATTTGTCATTTCAAAGGTCCTTACAGCCTAAAACAGCAAAAGAACCAAAATTTCACAATGACACTGACCAAGAAAATAAATATAGTAAACAATAGGATAAAAACAAATTATTTCCATGTTTTTGCCACAAAATTAGGTTTTATTATGCACAGAAAGCACATACACATTCTCTCGCTCTCTCTCCCACTCAAACGCACGCATATACAGTACGGACATTCACACACGCGTGTTGTCAGTGCTACTCAGATGATTTTATTTGTAAAATAGTTACTACATGTCATTTCTCACTAGCGAGGTATCAATGGCACTGTTCTTGAAGCAGATAAACTAACGGTTTCACTATTAGTCGAGACACTGCTGCCAAACACAGTTGAGCACATCACTGAGCTCTGCGCTGTGAGGAGCAGTGTGATATTTTACAGAACATGGGAATCAGAGAGCCCGAGCATTTACCTGCCCATTTACATCTGTCTTCATTTCTGTGGGCCAGACTCAGAGGAGATCCTGTTCAAGACATGATGGCATGATTTGTACGCTGGTCTGTAACTCAAACACACTGACTGCAGTCTGGAGCTGCTGTGATTTTGGCACAGATAATTCACACACACCAGCACATCACACTCTCAAACACATGCTGATGCACTTTATATGAGTTCAACCTTCCTCCTTTCCCTCAGTTTTTAACACTTAGTGTTCTCAGAGTGCTTTTCTTCTTTCTGACACGTTTTGCATCTGTTCTGTCCTTAAACTCCCACCAACACACCTGAGGAGGAGAACAGCACAGGCTTGAAGGAATGTTCTGGACCATTGTCAACTGAACTGGAGATGCTGATCATCTGTGACATGCTGTCCTTAATTTGGACCCGTCCCTCACTGTGTGCAAAAGACGGGAAATGTTTCACGCTCATTCCAATTCAGTTTTAACGAACAGTATTGTCGGTCTTTACAGATTCCTGCACTTTGTCACTTTTGCCAATGTAAACGTTTATCACGGATTGTTTTGCTTGTAACTGAATGCAATTTATTGACGTAATGATTCCGTGATCTTGATCAACATTATCAATAGCTCTTAATTTTAGGGTATGTACAGTACTTATTATAGTGTTTACAAAAAACTGGGTATTACCTAGGCACTAACTCTGAACCTACCCTTAAACATGTACAGTAGTTACCTTACATTATGCAGTACATTTCTTATTACTGTACATGTACTGTAAAATGACATTATCCACTGAATCTATCAGCCCCACACAATGAAAGAAAAGTAATACTAAACCTGCATAAGCAAATTTTTCTTTTTTTTTTTTTGCAATAAAATCCCTTTAACCAGCTGTCGGTTGTCTTTTCTGTCACATGCAGTTTGATGTCAGTAATAGCACATGTAGATACCGTCTGTGTGTGTAGTGTGTGTCCTCTGAGCGCTGCTGTCTGTCTCTGTTCACAGGTTGGTTTCTACTGAACAGCCCACCAAGACCAAGTTCCTGACTCTGGGCTCTAAGTTCCGCTACAGCGGCAGAACGCAGGCGCAGACGCGACAGGCCAGCTCCCTCATCGACCGGCCCACGCCCTACTTCCAGCGCACCTCCAGCAAACGCATCTCTCGCAGTCTTGATGGAGGTATCGCACCTCATTTGCTCTATCTGTGTGTCACAGGAACACTAGGTCTCGTTTCTAACGGAAGTATGAGTTCTGCATTACTAAATGAAACGTCTCTATATGAAATCCCCGTTCATCGGTTGAGTCTGTGTGGTTGTGTCAGGCTGATCAGAACAACGTTCATGTGAAATCCACTTTTTCTTGACACGTGCCATTTAATTGGAATTGGAAATATGGGCTGGGCAATACAGCTAAAAATGTATCTCTCTATTTTACCCAGATCTTGATGATATATAATACTTTTAAAATTTAAAAAGGTGATTTTTTTTTTTATCCCCCATCTGGAGACAACAGTTATTGTTACGAGTACATGCACATTGTTTATTGCAAAATCAGAGCTAGTTGTTTAAAAAAAAATGTAGACATACTGTAGTAATCAAATATTTACTGACTAACCAAACTAAAAAGGAACATTTAAAAGCATATTGAACTAAAGGTATCACTGTACCAATGTAACAATGAAATATAAAAATGTGAAAATAATACAAAGTGCAATCTTCCTTACCAAAAGTTGTGGTTGTTGCGACAACAAAGCAAGTTCTTTAAAGAAGAACGAAACGTGGTTTTCACTGTCAGACATGATTCACTTTTCACATTTTTGGATTTAATCTCACATTTAAATCCAGTTGTCAGTCCTTTGCAGTGAGTAGCTAGTGGCATGAAAAATAAGGCAAAGTGAGAAAGGAGCGTTCCCTTTTTAAATCACTTCATTATAATCAATGAATATCTTTTTTACTTCATGTTTATGTTGTTAGTTGAGACATGCTTAACGAATGCCTCCAGTGTTTTGAGTGTACTGAACAGAGGTGCAACAGACTGACTAAAACATCTGATTGGTGCTCAACAGAAATGTCTGTAATTGGCTACAATGGTCAATGTAGTTGTAAAAAGTTGTAAATAGAAACACGTATACAAGAGTTTGAAAGCAGTGGTCATAGTTGTGAAATGAAGAAGTGGTATTAGTTTGGCTTTCTTAAATGTAAGCTAAACGTTTAATATTCACTAATCGTAGCACAATATTTTCATAACTATTAAATGTTGCATAGGATGACCTGTGATGTTGTGTGTTCAGGCCATGGTACAGCTGTGTGTGTGTGTGTGTGTGAGAGACAGGAAGTCATAATCTGCTCCCACAAACTGTGGTCTCCAGTCAGCCTCGGCACTTAGTAAGGCACTGAGGCGCAGCGCCTGTTTTTTTTCTTCTTTTCAATACAACATGTCCAAATCTCATCTGTACCCTCAGAGGAGCAGAAAACAAGCGTGTGACGGCTGATGTTGCCGCAGCAAGCGTGACGCAGCGTCTTTGTCATTGAACTCTTCCCGCTTCCAGGTTATGAACTCTTTATCTGCAGGAAATTTCCCAGCGGTGAATGAGGCCGTTCAGCTGAGATCTCTCTGTGTGTGAGTGTGTGAGTGTGTGAGTGTGTGAGTGTGTGAGTGTGTGAGTGTGTGAGTGTGTGTGTGTGTGTGTGAGTGTGTGAGTGTGTGTGTGCGTACTAGGATGGTAAACCTGAAATCGGCTGCAGCAGTCCCCATGAAGAAGACAGATTAATAAACACTAAATAATACATAAATAAAAATGCAGATAGGTTTCTGTGAGGTCAGTTTCAGGGTTAAACACCGGCCCCACTGTCATTTTGCTTTTCTTAATGATATAAAAACTGCTTAGTTCAGTTGGACAAAGGACGCTTGAACTCTAAACTGAAAGCGTCTGCTCCATACAGACTTGAAGCATGATAAATGAGTCCAGCAGAGCAGCATTGCTCATGTGAACGGGTCTTCAGCATTTATTATGCTTGTTATTCACCTCTCATTTGTCATGTTTTTTCTCTCTGTATGAATGAACCCAGGTTTGTTTGTCTGCGGTTTATCTGTCGCTGCTGTTCTCGTGTCCTGATATGTTTTCGGCTGAGGGGTGATCTTGTGCTGTATTGTTGTGTCCGTGTGCATGAATAGACGTAGCCGGCTGTCTGGCGTGGACAGACACAGGAAATGAGGGACATCTGTTTCCTGTCTGTGGAGCGAGCAGGAGAGATGAGCTCAGAGGAAATGAGGGTTTTATAGGCAGAGCAGAAAGAAGCACAGAAAGCATCAGCGTCAGGCTGCTGTATGTGTTCATGATAAACGCTGCTGATCAGGGTCAGAGCAGAGCGCACACTCCACAAACAAAACACTGCATCAAAATATTGAACACATGCAATTTATGTAAGTATTTAATGGAAATATGAGCTTTATATTTTGACCTGTAAACCCTCTTGGCTGTGAAACATTGCTGTGATTGGCTAACTTTGTCACACTGTAGCCACGCCCTCATTTACAGCATGTCGGGTGTTTTGATACTCGAGATGGCAAGCGCTGTGATTGAGCCATATATGCTTGAGTCCCAGAGAGAATGAATTGCAACAGTCTGTTTTCAGTGTGGGAATTGCTTTTGCTTGCTTCATTTTCAGTATATAGTTTTTGAAGCACTGTTATTATCACAAAAGATGCTGCAGCTTAAGTAGGTTTGAGAAATTACATTGTTTCTCATTCATTTGCCGAAGGTTAAACATTTGTTTTGGTTGCAGCTTTCGTGCTTGGTGTTTTAATAGCATTAAACGCTGGTTTGACGTTTATTACAAACACACTGTAAAATTCTAAATAAATGCGCTGATGACCTACATTTTCTCTGTTTGGCACTGCGGTATCTTTTCAATAAAGATATTGTGAAAAACCACCCGCGTGTTTAGAATAATTCACAAAACTAATTGTGAAATATGAACAACAAATGAAAACGTTATCTTTAAGTCGCTCATGCACGTCATTAAAAATAAACTTCAGCCATGCATTTCTAATGCTCAGATCTTTAGAAAGGCTATGCAGAGTTTTATTTTTTCCACTGACAGAACAATGTCTGAGTTTGACGGCCTTACTCAGCATCGTTCTCCAGCAGCAGTAGGATCTAGTGATTGATGGACAGATATAGTTGCTCAGAACAGACGATGATGACACATATTAAGGGGCGTGTCAAGAAGAATCCAGATTTCAAATCCAGATGTTTAAGAAGGGCAGTATTTGAAGGAGTTCAGAGTTTTGAGACTTGCGGCATGTTTTTTACTGTAGAGTGACCTCTTATGTGTGATAACATCAAGAACATTTTGGTTCTCCATTTCATGGTTCCTTTGAAACTGGGGAAGAGTGAATTATTTTCTGCTGATCATACGCTGTGGCGCTTCAATGTTATGAACTCAGAACATTCCTGTAAGAAGTGGTTTGGTCAACATTGTGAGCGATCAGGCTAAAGATAGCTTCAGCTCTGGTCACTATCAGCCCTGAGTCTTTCCAGCAGTGAGCAGGATGGTTATTTTTGTGTGATGTGATGCTGGAGAATCAAACCGAGTCGGAGGTGTTTTCTCTATTAGTGCCTCTAGCCCTATTTTTGCTGGTTAGCACATGGTCAGCATTCACCTCGTGTAGAGGGCAGTGTGTTAGCGCTCTCAGGCTGAATTATGCTTCTCTCAGTACTACATCTGTTGCTACTGTGAGCACACATCAGCATCACATGACGGACGCTCAATAATCCAAACACAAAATACATCATCCCTGGGAGCAGGGACGTAAACTCATGCTCTGCATCGATTCATGATGAAAGCTTCTGAGAATCTGCTTTCCCAGCTCCTCTCCATTAAAATGACCCAGTTTTTCCTCCTGCTGGGAATCCAGTCAAGGCTGTGGTGTTTTAATGATGTTGAGATCACCCCCTGGTGGCCGCGCGGGGAACTGTGGGTGGCCCAGTTCTGCGGCGTCTCAGAGCTGTCACAGAGTGACCTGATGAAACGGACGTTCCAGCAGCGCAGGCTACATTAGCCTACTTTCTCTCAGATCAATCCAGGTCATGCTGAGCGGGAGGCGGGAAAAGAGCGCTTACACGTTCCTCAGTACCATCTGATCCATTATTCACAGGTTCCTAATGGAGAGCAGCGGTGCTGCTGTGAATCTCACGGGTTATAGTGCATGTTTGAGTGTTAGTACTCTATATTCAGAAGTGTGGACTGTAGTGCTCCTCTGGCTTACTGTCGGAGGTGTTTTCTCTATTAGTGCCTCTAGCCCTTTAATTTTTTGCTGGTTAGCACATGGTCAGCATTCACCTCGTGTAGAGGGCAGTGTGTTAGCGCTCTCAGGCTGAATTATGCTTCTCTCAGTACTACATCTGTTGCTACTGTGAGCACACATCAGCATCACATGACGGACACTCAATAATCCAAACACAAAATACATCATCCCTGGGAGCAGGGACGTAAACTCATGCTCTGCATCGATTCATGATGAAAGCTTCTGAGAATCTGCTTTCCCAGCTCCTCTCCATTAAAATGACCCAGTTTTTCCTCCTGCTGGGAATCCAGTCAAGGCTGTGGTGTTTTAATGATGTTGAGATCACCCCCTGGTGGCCGCGCGGGGAACTGTGGGTGGCCCAGTTCTGCGGCGTCTCAGAGCTGTCACAGAGTGACCTGATGAAACGGACGTTCCAGCAGCGCAGGCTACATTAGCCTACTTTCTCTCAGATCAATCCAGGTCATGCTGAGCGGGAGGCGGGAAAAGAGCGCTTACACGTTCCTCAGTACCATCTGATCCATTATTCACAGGTTCCTAATGGAGAGCAGCGGTGCTGCTGTGAATCTCACGGGTTATAGTGCATGTTTGAGTGTTAGTACTCTATATTCAGAAGTGTGGACTGTAGTGCTCCTCTGGCTTACTAGAACACACTCCCATAAGAACGCTTACATAAACCATTTGTGACCCTGGACCACAAAACCAGTCATAAGGGTCAATTTCTCGAAATTGAGATTTATGCATCATCTGATAGCTGGATAAATAATATTTCCACTGATGTATGGTTTGTTAGGATAGGACAATATTTGGCTGAGATAAAACTATTTGAAAATCTGGAATCTGAGGGTGCAAAAAAAATCTAAATATTGAGAAAATCATCTTTAAAGTTGTTCAGATGAAGTTCTTAGCAATGCATATCACTAATCAAAAATTAAGTTTTGATATATTTACTGTAGGAAATTTACAAAATATCTTCATGGAACATGATTTAATATCTTATCTTAATATCCTATTAGACTTAATATCCTAATGATTTTTGGCATAAAAGAAAAATGTATAATTTCGACCCATACAATGTATTGTTGGCTATTGCTACAAATATCCCCCAGCGACTTAACACTGCTTTTGTGCTGCAGGGTCACATATCCAGATTGTGTGTCTGTGTGTGTGTGTGTGCGCATGCGCGTGTGCGTGAGTGTGTATGTGTGTGTGTGTGTGTGTGTGTGTGTGCGCGCGCATGCGCGTGTGCGTGAGCGTGTATGTGGGTGTGTGGGTGTGTGATTGATGTCTTGGATGTACATGTCATTTGACCTCAGAGTCCCAGCTGAGATTTTGGCCATGTTTGCAATTAAATACTGGCTTACTGCATACTGTGCAGTATACAGCATACTATCGTGTTTATTTTAGTATATGAAACTGTGCACAGCATGCAACATTAATTGTTTTAAATAGTAGCGTATGCTATATTGTAGATGCCTGAGTATACCCCAGCGACTTAACACTGCTTTTGTGCTGCAGGGTCACATATCCAGATTGTGTGTGTGTGCGCATGCGCGTGTGCGTGAGTGTGTATGTGTATGTGTATGTGTGTGTGTGTGTGTGTGTGTGTGCGCGCGCATGCGCGTGTGCGTGAGTGTGTATGTGTGTGTGTGGGTGTGTGATTGATGTCTTGGATGTACATGTCATTTGACCTCAGAGTCCCAGCTGAGATTTTGGCCATGTTTGCAATTAAATACTGGCTTACTGCATACTGTGCAGTATACAGCATACTATCGTGTTTATTTTAGTATATGAAACTGTGCACAGCATGCAACATTAATTGTTTTAAATAGTAGCGTATGCTATATTGTAGATGCCTGAGATCATAATGTGTATGTTGAATTCAGTAAACAGGGACCAGTTGAAGTCAGATGTGTGTTAAAATCCCTTATCTTGGAAGTCTGATGAAAAGAGGAATCAAGAACGAGTAAAAACCTTGGCTGATGTTACTTCTGCTTCATTCTCTCACTGGGAATGGAAGTTGTTGTCATAAGAATGTGCTCTCATCTACACATACATATTTTGGCAGATGTATTTGCTAGTCTGGATGCACTTCTGCATGTCCACAGAAATCACTGTTTACTGCAGAATGAAGCCGGACTCTAATTGTTTCTCATGGGGACGCGAGGTCATTTCAGCATTTATAGAGGGTATTCTGTGATTTTATTGCCATCCAAATCCAGTGTTTTTCTCCCAATTTCTGGCTAAATGACCTGTTTTTGACCAACACAAAGGTCATGGGGTCATTTAACTGCCGTCTGAATCCACATCTCTGAGATTACAAGAAGGGATCGATCCAAAAGTCATTTTGTAAATAATATGTGATCAATGTTAAGTGTGACTGTTGCTCTTCTGTAATGTGTACGCATGGACTCTTTTATTACTCAAATGCTGTAAACTGTTTACAAGAATAATACTATACTATTTAGAAGAAAAAGAAACGAGAACAAAATCACAGACTTTTGAAATGTCATTATTATAGTGTGCAATAATTATAATATACATGAATTATTATAGACATTTATGTAAATTAGGGCTTGCACAAATGTGCATTTTACTAGTCAAACAGGTAGCTGGGTCAGATGTTTAACTTCATGTAAATAAGAGTTTGCATTCAATTATAATTCAATAATTTCCACATTTTTGAAATCACATGCATCATTTTGAGAGATAAAATGCAAGACATTTAAATCATAGCACTTCAGTTTTTCTCATTTTAATGGGATATTTAAATAATCAAATAATAAGCAGGATATTATTGTCATATACATAATTAAAATATGAATTGATTAATTGTCTAAGCAGCAACAGATGTTTTGTTTACAGCTGACAGTCATGTGACTGATGATATGAGCAGCATGTTCTCGGGTTGATTTCATCTGAATGCATGAGTTTTATCACTGAAGTTCCACGCAGATGTATTTTTACATATAGGTTTGAGTTACTAATATTCAACATTTAACCTGGCAAAAATTTTTTGTATTAAATGTTATCTGTGTTATATTTCATCTGCAACAGCAATGTAAACGTTTATAAACATCCGTTTGGTTGTTAACTTTTAAATTAAATATTAATTGTCTAAGCAGCAACAGATGTTTTGTTTACAGCTGACAGTCATGTGACTGATGATATGAGCAGCATGTTCTCGGGTTGATTTCATCTGAATGCATGAGTTTTATCACTGAAGTGCCACGCAGATGTATTTTTACATATAGGTTTGAGTTACTAATATTCAACATTTAACCTGGCAAAAATTTTTTTTATTAAATGTTATCTGTGTTATATTTCATCTGCAACAGCAATGTAAACGTTTATAAACATCCGTTTGGTTGTTAACTTTTAAATTAAATGCAATGAGGAGGGTGTTAACTGTGACAAGATGATTGACAGGCTAGTTTACAGTGACAGGGTGCGTGCAGTTGTGTGATGTGATAGTATGCCCCAAAGCTTGCCTACTCTTCTACTACACACTCAAAAGTGTGTACTTTTTCTTCACCAAAACAGTACATACTTTAAGGGCGTAGTATAAGTAGGCACATTGTGACGCAGCATCAGATTTGCTAAGTGGTTTCAGTCAGACAGCACCGTTTAAAGATTTGAATATATGCACTACTGACTAACGGTATGTTTCTTTCTCTCTGTGTGCGTGTGTGTGTGTGTGTGTGTGTGTGTGTGTGTGTGTGTGTGTGTGTGTGTGTGCGCGCGGCGGCAGCTCCTGTGGTGAACGTGAGTGATTACAGTCAAGCTGCAGGCGCTGGAGAGAACGGCCCGGCTCTGGAGCTCAACTCTGACTCTAAGGTGAGAAAGACCCTCTTCATCATCTTCATCACAGTCCTCAGCTCTATAGGAAGTGCTCTGGAACAATAACTAGCTATTACCCCTGCTCAGACGTTAAACATACAGATGCCTTCCCACTCATACTGCAACATTGAGTTTCTCTCTTAGAGTGTTTAATGAAAATACTTATTTTGGTGTTTCATCTTATCCCCATTTTTTTTTTTTTTTGTATTGATTCTGGTTTGATTTGTTGAAATGATAACTCAAGCTAACCCTAGAATCATGCTGCCTAAATGTTTTGTAATACACTGGGATCATCCTCTGTTTGGAGACACTCATACACGGCTCACACTGCTGAGTCCGGTTCATGAACAATACCCGGAGAAACCTCCATCCCTAGCTGACCCGTACGCCTCGAGTCGGTCTGCCACCCCGATGTGACATTTCTCTGTCCGTCAAAAGCCTGTATTCATGGCGTCCGCGAGCCCTGAAGGAGCGCTGACATTCCTGCCGTAACCTACAGCTCTCACATGAAGAGAGGCTTTCACAGACGCCTTACACGCAAGCCAATGGAGGATGTTAGCGCTTTGAGAACTCATCCTGTCTGTGTAACTGCCCTCAAACGCACAGAAGCCAGCTTTGTGACAATAACAGCATGATCTAGCCCATTATTGACTGTTTCCGTGGCGACCGACATTCCACCCCTTTGCTCGTCACCGGCCTGCTCGTTAGATATGATGTAGGTCCAGCCCACTGAAGAGCTCCTGATTGAGTTACTCTCGTTTAGGACACTGGAATCCAGACAGATGCCTCTGTGTTTCTCTCAGGGCCTTTTCACACTTGGTCTGAACCAGAGTTCACTTTCTCTCCACCAGCGGTTTACCTGTGTAGCTTCTGCCAGGTCGACCGATAGTGGATTTTACCGATACTGATAGCTAGGTTGGACCACACTGGCCAATACCAATTAATCAACCGATAGTTTTTAAAATGGATACTGAATGAAAACTAAAATAGTGCTTTACTATTTAAAAAAAAACTGTACTGAACCATAATTTGTAAATTATAAAAAATATTAATATTGCTTATATTAAACATTAGTTAGCTTATAGTTTATTAACTAATGCTAACAGAAGAAACTTTAAAATTTAAAAATGTATTAGTAATGGTAAATATTGAAATTAACGCACTCTAACGAGGAACAATACTTAAACAGCTTTCATTCATCTTAATGTTATAAATGGACTCTTATTTTAAGTGTTACTATTTCATGCTTAAAGATGGTCATCTTTAAATATCTACACAAAGTCCATAGCATTGAAATTACTTGCATATGGATATTGTATGTATACTCTGTTGTAGAACACTTAATTAAATAACAAAATATGTTAGTCACACACCAGGGAAAAGCACAGCACTGTCTAGGAGAACTCACAGGTATCTCACACACCGGACCGTCACGTTCAGCTCAAACGGCAGTCTAAAATATGATCTCTATATGAAGTATACAGACTTTATTAGAGCCACAGAAAGACAGTTATTTCCCTGATATATGCACAATACAGAATTTTACAGCCTAGGGTGAAGTCATTATATACATTAACAGTGATTTGGGACAAATATAATGTAATTTAATGGAGAACTATGTGAATGGCAGGATTTTCTGTCGGCCGTATTTAAATCCGCGTCTGAATTTTCCCGCTTTGTGCAGTCTCACGTATCAAAACAAACAGCAGGAGGTGTCAGTGATTCGCCTCTAGAGGCCGCTCTCGCTCTGTATAATGACAGCAGACCAGGATTTTTGCTGATAGTTCCAACAATCAACTATCGAGCCGATTAATCGGCAAAACCGATACATCGGTCAACCTCTAATCACATCATTAATTCTGCAGCTCACTTGTTCAAATTAGGCCAGATTACTTTTATACCGTCTGAACTGCACTAGAGTTAACATGAACCAGACCCAAAAAGACTCAAATGTAGTTCCCAACCAAAACAGTTGAATTCTGACAACTTCTGACCTCAGAAATGTACCAGAATGTCCCTAATGCCATTGGTTTTACTAGCAAAACTTTGAGCACAGTGGACTTGAAAAAGATGCATCAAATGCAAGCTGCTCGCTAAAAAGACCGTTTTCTGTGGAGATGAGCAGCTTGATATGTATTTCACATTCTACAATACAGACTGTTTCACATTAATAAACAGGAAAATAACAGTGTTACTGTTTTAAAATTGATCAATTATCATTCAGTTTCAGCTGTAAAGCAGCTCTACAGAAGACAATAGTGTCATTCAGCTCAATTTAGATTCAATGTTGATTCAGTTCAGTAAGTCTTTCAGTGTTGGGGAGTCAATTATGAAACAAGTTCAATTCAGTTATAAAGCAGCTCAACAGAAGACAATAGTGTCATAAATCAGCTCAGTTTAAATTTCATCATCCGATAGTGGCAATGCAGTTAAATTGCTAATATTACTAAAAGTTTATATGTATATACAGTATATATATATATATATATATATATATATATATATATGTATATATGTACAGTATATATATATATATATATATATATGTATAAGATTTATTTTTGCCTTTATTATGACAGGACAGATCAGAACTAATAAGGAAAGAGATAGGGGAGTGGGATCGGGAAAGGTCCTTGAGTCGGGATTCAAACTCGGGACGCCCGTAGCACAACTGCTCTGTATGTTGGCACACTGCCCACAAGGCTATCGGCGCCGACAATATTTTTATACTAAAATAATGCACTGTCAATTGTTGTTTACTTCCACAAATTAGTCCAGCTTTTAAACCAACAGTGAGCCATACCCCAGACACTCTTAAGGCCCGTTCACACCAAGAACGATAACTATAAAGATAATTATATTAGCGTCCACACCAGCGGATGATAGCGTCTATTTATTCTAAACGCACGCTCATCTGCCGCTTTAAATTCTCGAGCTCGTGAGATCAGGATTGATTCTGATTTGGTATCAGTGTTTTTATCATTCATCAGCTGTAAAAAAAAATGTTTGAAAGTGATTCCAACGATATTGTTTCTCTGTGCCATTATCTTTATAGTTGTGGTGTGGACTCTGCTATTCTTTAAAGTCCCCATGAAATCAAATCTAAAGTTTTTTGGGTGTTAGTATCAATAGGTTAGTTTTAAGGTTATCTATAAGACCCACACACACACTAAGTGTTTCAAGGCACTTCAGGGGACCTTTAATATTGAGAACGATTTTTAGATCTTTACCGTTATCTTTATAGTTCTTGTCCTTGGTGTGAATGTGCTCTCATTGAGAATCTCTTTCATGGCCACTGAAGAAACTGATTTGAGATCGATTGCACTCCACAGCCTGGTGTGAAAACGCCCTCCTCTCTCCTCCTGAGCTTCTGCACCAACACTCTGCCAGCTTATGTTGTCTAACACTTGCCCACACACACAATAGCACACCCCTTAATACCAGAGTCTTTCCTAATGTGTCATCCCTCACACCCTGACCTCGACTCGGCTCACTGACTAATGTTGTGTTTCTCTCTCCCCTTCTCTTTCCCCGCGCACTCCACAATGTCTTTTTGCCATGCATCCATTCCTCTTCCGTTGCATTCTGTCGTTGCACCCACGCAGTCTCTCTTCATGTTCCCGTTCTCCCCATCCTCCTCCACCCTCTCCTCCCTCCCGCCGACCCTTGACACCATCTCTGAGCTGGATGTGTTATCTGACATCTCCGAGGACGAGCCTGACCTCCACCTCGAGCCGGACTCTGAGGCTGTGAGCTGGCCGGCCGAAAAATCCTGCAGCGACGAGGGTTTGTCCGAAGAGCCCTGCTCTGCTCTGCCCCGGCTGGGTGTGTCTGTGCTCAGCTTCTGCAGGGGTCTGTGTCTGCCCTGGCTGCTGGACGAGGACGGCTGCATCAGTCTGCCCTGTCTACCGGAGGACTGCGCCACTCTGCTGCTTCCCGCAGGACTGCACCGTCACCTGCCCCTCACCTCCTCTTCCCTCCTGCCCTCCTTCCTGCTCATCTTCGCCGTCGTCCTCTCCGCCTGCCAGTCGGTAGCGCTGTCTCTGCTGCTGGCACTGCCTCTGGCCCTGTCCCTGTGCTACCTGGAGCCGAAAACACTCGCGCACTTCAGGCCGGCGGAGGTCATGGCTGAGACGAGCTCTCCAGAGGAAATGCAGTGTGACCCCGCCGCCTAAACTGACCCCTGACCTCCCTGTTCCTGTCTCCCTGTCTGCCTACCCTCTAATCGCTACTGTGTGCATTTTGCCGCTGTTCGCCTCTATAGCTCTTTCTCCCGCTCCAACTTCCAGTGCCAGTTTCAGTGTGAAATGCAGATTAGTCCCTGCGCTCAGATTGTAGCTGTATAAATCAGCAGCATTCCAGTGGGACTCTATTTATAGTCCATATCCTGTCTGAAAAAACTCTTTCCCCACTTCAGCTGAAGCATTTATTAGACCCAAACCACTCGACCAGCTTTAAAGGGGTCATATGATGTTGCTAAAAATAACATTATTTTGTGAATTTGGTGTAATGCAATGTGTTTACGCGGTTTAAGGTTCAAAAAACACATTATTTTCCACATACCGGACATTGTTGTTACTCCTCTCTGCCCCGCCTTTCTGAAACGTGTCCATTTTTACAAAGCTCATCGTTCTGAAAAGCACGCTGTGCTCTGATTGGCCAGCTGTCAAGTGCATTGTGATTGGCCGAATACCTCAAGTGTGACGGAAATGTTATGCCCCTTACCATATTTGGAAACATACAGCGTCTCCACGGCAACAATACTACAGCGAGAATAAAAGTTACGTCTTCTTTCTTTGCGTAAACATTTCGGCGGTGTTATGCAAATCTTCCCACATCGTGATGTAGATATGTGGGGGCATGTTTTAGGAGAGTGTGGATGAGTCTTAACTTTTATAAAGGATCTCTCTTTGGGTTTGAGACTTTAGTCTTTGCAACTTTACGGATTTTATATATGCACAAACAGCTTGTAACACTCCAAAGACAAAGGAAAACTTGAAATCGCATCATATGACCCCTTTAATCTTACACTAAACAGCAGGTTTATATGTATTTTGGATAGATTTCCCTCTGAGTTTATTATAGTCCTTCAGGTATTTTATAAGAGTCTCAAACAGAAAAGCAGCATCTCACTCAGACCAGCCTGTCCCAGAGCTCAGGGCTCGCTCCTTATCTCTTTGATTGGGGATTCAGGCCTTCCCATCATCCATTTCACCTTTTCAGACTATTTTGTCCATTATTCCACCAATCAGAGTCCACAGGTGGAGGTCATGGAGAAGCCAAACGCGGATGCAGCCACATCCATCAGCACTGAAACGGCCTTTGAGGTCTGCTAACCTTCCCAGCATGCATCTGTAATCACATTCATATAATTAGCACACAGTCCAGAGGTATTATAGGACATGTTTTGAACTAATCTTCATCTTTTATCTCCGACGGCATGAGCAGACGGATGGCGCTGGCACTCCTGAGAGAAAGGTCTTTCACTTTTGTTTGAGATGCAAATTGTTGTAATTCATTGTCTTTTTTTAATTTCATGTTTTTGTCCAATTGAAAGTGATGGGGTTCTTGCATCATGGTTGTTTGATGATGTGGAATCTTGGCTTTCTTTGCTGTGGTGATGGTTGATTGTTTTTATTTGCTGTTATCCTGTGCTTTTTCTGTAATTACAACTGCAAATGAGGCTCAAATCATGAGCTCTCTGGAGTAATTTGCTGATTGATTGGCTAAGCAGCACTAGATTGATGACTTGTGATCAGATGCTGATTTGCCTGTTGGTTGGTTACTTCCAAGAACCCTGATACAGATCAGGAAATCAGTAGTGTCATGTATGAACCAAACTGGATCAGCCTACAGTCACATCAGAAAGTTTGAGAGCACATTAGGAATTTGAGATCGAAGATCAATTTAAAGCTGGAAGTCGCTGGCTTAAATTCAAGAACGTTTTCAGTTCAACACTCAAACTGATATGCTGATAATATAATTTGCAATGAAAATTGCGTAGTAGAAGCATTTTCGCTGGTGCTCTCAGACGTTCATTTTCCATTATGCAACATTTTCTTCTCCTCAGAGATGTTCATCAGATTTGACTCCAGTTCATTACCATCTGTCTTTTTCCTTTTTGTTCAAATGTGTTCTCATTTTTAATCCACAGAGCAAGTTGAGAGTGCAGGGGGAAAATATATATGTCAGGCATAGCAATTTAATGTTGGAGGTTCGTATGTCGTATGTAATCAATGAAAAAGAAACAGAGAAAGCGCAAAAGCATAATGGATGGTGGACATGTGTCCCCTCTCTGGCTACTGTCCTGGGCTGCCTCTCACTCTTCCTCTCTCAGGCTTTGTGTGCATGCATTAGTGTGTGTGTGTGTGTGTGGGGGCTGCATGTTAAAGCGGGTGCATGTCTGTGGGTGAACTGAATGTATGTGATACGTGGTGTTTTTATCGTTTGTGTAAATGTCATGTGGGAATGGTTCTCATAACAACACTAATAGTATTTCCCTAACCAGACAGATGACTTTCTGCTTTGGTTGTGGTGATTGTTTACGTTTGATTTTACAACTAAATAGATTTACTCATCCTGGGGTGACCATGTCAGTGCCAAAGACACCTGGCTCACGAGCCCTGAGACAGACACAGACGGGATTTGGTTTACTAGTAGTAAATAGTTACTTTGCATTTTTCATTCCTAATAACAAATAAGGAGTCAAAAAAGCGGTCCTGATAAAAAGCAAACAGATCAATAACAGTGTATTCTCTACATGTTAAACTGGAACAAGAGGGAGTGTTTTCTCATTACGACGCTCTTCAGCTTTAGATGAGTGTGCACTCTGTGTCTGGTGTCTCAGAAGCAGTTGTGTGTCTTTGTCTCACTGCACCGCTCCAGTGTGTAAACAAGTCCTGCCTCACTGCTCCCCACAGACGCTGACCTCTGACCTGTCACCTGACCCTCGTAATCCCACCGGTTCACCAGAACCAAACCTATACTGGGATTGCCAGGGTCCTTCAGATGTGGAAGACTGATTGACTGATTGACTGCAGGGTTTGAGGGTTTAAGTAGGCAGCTTATTTCACTGGATATGATTGAAAATGAGTCAATGAGGGACAGACGTACAGTCAGAGCAATAGTGCTGTTTTAAGGCCCTGAGCTCATTTTTAGCATCTACAATTTGTCGACTGAAAATGCATCTTTCCACAAAAGCTCTGCAATGTTCTGTCAGTTGGACTATGAACACCTGGATGTACAAGATGTAAAGATTCTGTTATACTTACTCCGAAGTTGTTTTTCATTAAAAAAGTTAAAGTAAGTTTGAAAAACCTGAGCAACCATATACTGCTTGCGATTAGTTTACTGGAAAGTTTTCTGAAAAGTCTACAGTGGCAAACTATTCGAAACCACCAAAACAAACTCCAGATGAACTTTGGTTTAGCCAGATTAATTTAGAAATGATGTTACACCCATTAGAACTGAAGAACGAATGGCTGAACGAATGTGTGATGGCATTTCAAAGGCAATCTCACCTAATAAAGTTGGTTTTGGTGGTCTGTAACAGAACGATATTAGATTTTTGCCGATATCCGATATGCCGATATTTTTCGAATCATTTGGTCGATACCGATATATATTTATCTTTGTTTTGAAACACCACCAAGTCTCTCCTGTGCAGAAATTATAAACAAATTATTTTTAATATTGGTTAGTTTTGAGCAAAAACTTATTTGTTACTAGTAATACATTTATTAAAGTTCTTTTTTTAATGAGAGTACATTGAAAGCCTTGAAAATAACTAATAAAATCAATCTCTGCTGTTCTTTTAGTTTTTTTTCTCAGACAGATGCAGTTGAAACCTTAACATTTTATTTGTGGATTTAACATCAATAGACGGTCTAAAGAAAAAGAGCTATAAAAATTCCACAAAAAAAATTTGAGCTCCTTATATTTAAGTTTTCATAATGCATTTGAAAAATATATGACATATTACTAAATAAATCTGTATATATTCAATTATTTAAATTACAAGTGCCATGTTTGTGATTTTTTTTTTACTGCGATATACTGTGATACTGCTTTATTTATTCAGAAACACAAGTATCTTAATGAGATTTGTGTATTTTACTTTCATTTTATTATAAGTAGGCCAACAGCGCCCCCTATGTAAAGGGCATTAGGACCCGGGGGACACCTCATTCTGTTCATGCATTCTCCAATTAAATGCGGCGATGCAAAACATTGAATCGAATCATCATTCAGGCAAAAGTTTGCTTCAAGAATGAGCACACTGCTATCACTATCACACCCCGAGCACGTGTGAGATATCCGTCTTATCGGCAAGGCATATCGGCATTTTTTTTTTTCAAGTCTGATGCTGATGTTTAAATTTTAAGCCTTTTTTCGGCCGATTCAATTTGTTTTAGCCAGTTTTATTCAAAATGATGTTACACCATTAGAACAGAAGAATGAATGGGTGAACGAATGTGTAACTTCATTTCCAATTAAATCTGGCTTAAACAAAGTTTGTTTGGAGTTTCAGAAATCTTCTCTGGCGAAGTGTTTGGAGTCATCGAAACAAACTCCAGATGAACCAGATTTTGTTTGTAATGATGTCACACTCCATTGGTTCTTCATTTTCACTGGTATATCAGGGCCTTACCAGTGTGTATTTCTGTCCCTCACAACCTCATTTTCTTTTGTGTTAAATTACTGCTGAAGCAATAACACTGGACATCATTAGTTATTGAAAGATGTTCCAGAACCTGACAGCTCTGGTCCAAATCTAGCGAGCTTCCTAGCAGCCTCCTGTTAACATCATGAGTGCACATGAAATATTAACTCCCCTTTGGAGCCGCTCTGGTGTCAGAAGTGAGTCAGAGAACCACTGGGTCTTTGAACGGAGCTCAGGACTCGTCGTCTGCTGGGGTGCGTCAGGCGAGCAGTGAGGTTCGACTCTAACGTGACTCCGCTCTCTCCATGACTAATGTGCTGGTTGTTGGTTGTCCCTTTGTCCTCCCCTGCCTGCCTCTTGGATAAGGACTTGGATAAGACCCAGGAGGATGTGTTGAAGCATCAGGCTAGCATTAGCGAGCTCAAGCGCAGTTTTATGGAGGCTACACCCGAGCCCAGGCCCAGTCAGTGGGACAAGCGCCTGACGGGCAGCCCTGCCACCTCCCTGCGCCTGCAGGCTCATGGGGTACGTGTGCTTGTGCTTGGGATTCGGACGCCTCCTCAGACGCTCTGCATGCCCCTCTCGCTCTGCTCTGCTGAGAAGCTGGTTTACTCTGGGTGTTTTCTGTTGCACTGTGGGACAGTTGGGAAAATATTGTGTCAATAAGTGTCTTTTAATATTCCATTGAATAAAGGGGTGTAACGATTCACTTGTTTTTGTCAAAGCATCATTTACAAATCCTGCCAATGCATATATGTGACCCTGGAGCACAAAAGCAGTGTTAAGTCGCTGGGGGATATTTGTAGCAACAGCCTAAAATACATTGTATGGGTCAAAATTATCAATTTTTCTTTTATGCCAAAAATCATTAGGATATTAAGTAAAGATCATGTTCCATGAAGATATTTTGTACATTTCCTACCGTAAATATATCAGAACTTAATGTTTGATTAGTAATATGCATTGCTAAGAACTTCATTTGTACAACTTTAAAGATGATTTTCTCAATATTTAGATTTTTTTGCACCCTCAGATTCCAGATTTTCAAATAGTTGTATCTCAGCCAAATATTGTCCTATCCTAACAAACCATACATCAAACCTCAATTTCAAAAAAATTACCCTTATGACTGGTTTTGTGGTCCAGGGTCACATATCACATTGATCTTAAAACCTGGATTTTTGAATTGTGACTAGTTTGTTTCAGTCAAAAAAAATCTGGAGTATGGAATAGTTTGCAAGGTGTTCTCAGCTCTAAAGAAATATTTTATCAGAACATTGCACTCTTTGTTCTATTCTAAGTAGCCCATACGGACACCATACGGTTACTCTTTTTATTACTTAAAACGCATTAGGAGAAGCATTCATATCTACTGGATGAATGCACTTAGAAAAACCTGGAATCAACTCATTATTCAAAATTAAATTGAATCTCATTGTGAATCTGATTGCATTGGTCTGAATTTGCAAAAATTGAGTTGAAAAGGTATGAATCGCAAGTAGTCATTCAACTTGCTGTAGGGATTTCCAAAAATAAGTAATATTTGCTTGAGCAAAACAATATCAGATTTTATTCCTGTTTTGAAATGTGTTTTGAAACATCTTGACAAACACTTTTGGACCGTTCGTTCTTTCCCCGCTGCTATGACTAGAAATGGCGAGCGAATTCAGAGCCTCTGAGATGCCTCGCTAACACCTCTCACTCCTGACGTCACAATGCACTATTGTCTGCTTGAGTCTAAGTAGATTCAAGAAGATGGCCCACAATCCCAACTGTCTCACACACACGCGCACCTCCTGTCCTCTACACCAGCCAATGGCGGGGCAGTTCTCAATCTGATTGGTGCATCTGTTCACTCTGATTGGCTTTTTGAGTTCTGTTGTTCATGCTGTACGTTTGCTCAGTCTGTCCTTTGGTTTCCTCACTGCTCATGAATATTTTGCGTTTTCTAGCAGAATGCTTCTCTCATTGTTTAGGTTTGCTCAGTTGCAGTCATGTTGTCTCTTTCAGCTGCGCACATGCTCCCTCTGTTTATTTGTATATGTTTTAAAGTTACTCTTTTATCAGTCAGTGTAAATGATAAGCTCCTGTCAAAGACTATATTGCACATTTTTGCACTTGTGTGTTTGTGTGCGAGTGATTTTTGCATTTTATTTGCACCCGTTTCTTGATGCCGTCACCCGTTGAACACTGTTTCTGGGTTACAAACACTGTTGTTGGCACACATGCCCTCTGCTCTGTTCATGTTCGAATGCTTTACTGCTATTCCTGTAGTGTGTGTTTGTGTGTGCATGTGTTCAAATGTTTGGGGTCGGTAAGGTTTTTTTTTTTTTAGTCTTTAAGATCTCCATGGCTGTATTTATTTGATTAAAAATACAGTAAAAATTGGGAAATATTATGACTTAAAACAGCTATTTTCTCTGTGAATAGCTGTTCGACTGTAATGTATTTCTGTGATGCGCAGCTGTATTTTCAGCATCATTCCTCCAGTCTTCAGTGTCACATGATCTTCAGAAATCAGTATAATATGCTGATCTGCTGCTCAAGAAACATTTCTGATTATTATCAATGTTGAAAACAGTTGTGCTCCACAATATTTTTGTGTAAGCTGTGATAAATTTTTTAGGATTCTTTGTTGAATAGAATGTTCAAAAGAACAGCATTATTTGAAATAGAAATATTTTGTAACATTATGAATGTCTTTACAGTCATTTTTGATCAATTTAATGCATCCTTGATGAATAATAGTATTTGATTAAAAAAATACTAATGACCTTTTGAACAGTAGTCTCTAGATGCAAATTATCTAACAGCGGTTCAGAAATGGACAACAAATGTAATTAAATGTACATGTAAAGCCATCAAAATCAAAACACGGTCATTATATGGCACAATATGAATGAGACTTGAGAGCTACAGCTCCATTTATACACGCATGCATCAGTACACAGCTCTTCTGCACTGAGTGTCTGTGAATCACACACATGAGAACAGCTCTAGAGGGTTTCACTGCTGGACTGGTCATAAACATCCAGTAACAACATAACTAGCAAATCATTTCCATCTCTGCCATTGTGTGTGTGAGTGTGAGAAACATCTTGTTTTGTGTGTGTTTGTGATGTTTATGTTTACTAGCATCACTGCTGACTGCTGTCCCGTCCACCGTCTCAAACCCGTTAACTCTCTTTACCCCTGCTGTCTCGGGTCATCCGATCACTAGCGGTCAGTTGGGACACATGTCTCAAATGCATCTCCTGTGATCGGGTCACACAGGCAGGTCTCGTCCCGTGAAGGACTCCTCTGAGAGTGTGTGTTTGAGTGACTGTGTCCTATGATTACCTCCAGGTTTCACAGAAAACCCCTCCCCGTCCTGAGACGGACATCAGAGACGCCAGCAAGGTGGTCCATCGTCCTCGTTCAGCCTAACACCTAACATCACCTGAGCAAACGCACACCTAACACTACACACACATCTCATCCTTTTTCCATTGCAGACATCATGACTCCAGCCCTCTTCTCCAGATTGAGCATCCATCTTTTTGTCCATGCATTCATTCATCTTTCAGCTTGTTATGATTGTCTCTCTTTCTCGTTATGTTGCTTGTTGATTGTATGTGTGTGGTGTTGCAGTGTTTATGGACCTTAGTCGGAGGAGATGCCATGTTTGATTCGGCACAAATGAGAGCAGTGCTGTGAGGGACAGATGTACAGTGTGTTCAATCTGATGCTTACTCAGTAGTTTTATCTTGTTTAAAGAAAACTATCTAAAGGTCCTCACAAGACGGCACATTTAATTGAGAGACGAATGTGTATGTAATACAGATGCCCTGTCCAAATACCCACACTTGCGGTCTTGTCCACTTGAGTGCGCGTGCACCAGTGCCCTTAATGCACACTAAATCCATCTCGAGCCTTAGTGTATCCCATCATGCATCATGTTCTGGAAATAAATCGTCAGACTTTTTGCCGAGATCTTGCGATAAGTCACAAAAACCTTTCCGATGTAAGTTAAATATTAGGGCTGTCAAAATGGCTGAAAAACTAAATTCGAATTTTGTACTTAAATCAAATATCAAATTATATTCAAATTTAAAATGCATAATTTCAGTTGGGGTGAATTAAAGCTTTTGGCTTCTCTCCTGAGGCCACAAGAGGGCGCATCGCGCAAAATATTACTAATGCATGTTTATTCAAAGCATGAGATAACATGACTATCTGTGGAAAAAAGTGCATAATGTTTAAAATAATGTTTATAAACCAATTATAATTAAGTTGCTTAAACCACTATAAACAAAACAGCATCATGCATGTATGCATAGTTTAATACAAAGGACCGAAAGCCAATCACACAGAGTACATTTTTTATTTAAAAACATGAGTTGCAGTGGGGTGGGAAAAAAAAACGCCATAAAGTCTCAAGATATGTTTTAAACTTGCATTAATTTTACATGGCTTTCTAAACATGTGGCTCTTTTGTGCAAGACGCGAGTGCAACTGTGATAGATGTCCCTCTAGAAAATGCGTGAAATATGCATTCTGTGTAAACGGCTTGGTTTTAGTTTTAATCAAAACAAAATGTAAAAAAGATCTTCTCTGCATTGATGTTCTCTTTTAACGCAATATTTTTAATGAACAACACAGCAGCACCGCATCTAGTGGGTTCAACTGGATAGGCTGACAAAAATATTATAATGCAGTGACACTTATTTCATCATTGCATCTCGCTGATAAGGCTGTCTGATGCACACCTAAAATTTGAATGCAACGGTTTTTGCATTTGAATGTGGATTTTTATTTTAAATTCGACGAATATTCGAAAAAAAAAATTTGACAGCCCTATTAAGTATTAATAATAATTAGATATTACAAATAATTTGGTAGTAAAACAAAGTGTTGCACGTTTTATTGGTGCAAAGACAAGTATATTTACTTTGTACAACAGTTGCAACTGCTTTTGATCACTTAATTAGAAGCACCACAAAGTCAATTGTCATCTGTTATAGGGACTTCTGAACAGATATTTAGAAGTTGATTTTAAAATGCAAAGTATTGAAACAAAAAATTAAGCCCTGCAAACACTTACATTTTTACAGCACTATAAGTGTGTCCCATCAGTTAATGAAAAGTTTAACACACTCGTGGTCTTCATGCTCACTTGAACACTTATATATACAGGAATACAGGAAATGCATCATACAAGTAGTCAAGTGCAGAGACTGCAAGTGTGGGTATTTGGACAGGGCAAGTAATAGGGATTGTTCACAAATAAAGAAGAACCGCGGCAATGTTTCCTCTTGTTTTAGGCACCAGACAAGACAAGGTGTAATTCTTGTAGACTGTTTTGCTGCTTCTCAAGTGTGCATCACACATTTCAATGCGTTTTCAAGGTCCACAAAACTGCACTCATTGAACAGACTGTACATCTCTACGTCGCAGCTTTGTTTTTGTTTGCTTTACGGTGACATTGACTTTGACTAAGGTCTGCAGGAAGTTTGTTTCCTTCAGTTTTTGTTCTTTGGTCATGGTTTATGTTTTTTGCTTTTCTCTCCATCCCTCGTGTGTGTTTGTGTGCTTGTCTGGTGTAGAGCGCAGAAGGCAAACCCGAAGTCAGCAACCAGCCAGAGGTCATAGAGGTCGTGGAAGAGACCGTTGTCATCGAGGAAGTCGTCAAAGCCAAACCCAAAAGCCCCGCCCCTGAGGCGCCGGTTACCGTGGAGACGGAGGTCAAGGAGGAGAGGAGTTTATCGTCAGACAGCGAGAGCGAAGAGGAGGCGGAGTACCACGCTCAGCCACCCAGCACGAGCATCTCCACCCAGCAGATCAAAGAAGAGCCCGAGGAGGAACAGGAGGCGGTGCTTACTCAACAAGCCCCGCCCTCTGTGGTAGAGTCACAGCCAATCACAGAAGCAGCTGAGCCCGGCCCTGCGGCGGAGGAAGAGAAAGCAGCGCAGCCTCATGAGGAAGAGCGTACAGACGAGCCACTGCTGACGCCAGACGAAGCTCCCAATGGACAAGCCCCCCAAGACGAAGCCCCGCCCACTCCCCAAACTGCTGCCGCCGAGGAGGAGGAGCCTCACATCGTGAATGGCAGCGCCTCTCGCGTCGAAACAGAGCACCTGCCGCAGGTTATTTGTTGTTCGGAGGTAATTGACATCCCGAGCTGAGACGGCCGCCTACGCTTCTCCTCATCTCCTCATCTCCTCTTCCATTTCCCACTCCTTCCTCCTTCCTGGACGAAGATCCTGCTTTATCTGCGCAAGGCTGAAACCTCTCTCTAGCCTGTTTTAAAGGAAGCGATTGCAGTATAAATGAAAGCGTCTTAATGTTTGTCTTTTCATCCTCTCGCCTTTTAAGTTGATTTTTTTTATTCCAACCTACTCAGCTACACACACATATATAAACACAATATTCAGAGTCGCTGCATGCTGGGGCTTGTATCTTGTGCGCTGCATGTCGTGTATCGTTGCATGGAGCTTTGTGGTGCATGTTTAATCTAGTGTACTTGATATCATAATTATATGATAAGTGTGTTTACATTGATTCTTCGCTCTGCTGGTAGAGAGAGAGAGCAGCATAAACTTCAATAATGCCTCTGAAATGATTTGATTGCACATATAAATAGCACACATCTTAAGTATTGATAGAAAAAGCGCAATATAGTGACATCTGATATCGTATCCACACAGCGCTGTGTTTTTGTGCGTTTGCATGTGTGTGTCGTCCTGTAAACACTGCCAAAGATCACGAAACCAAAACTGCACTAATGTACCGTCACACGGACATTTGGAAACTTTTTGGCTTTTTTTCCGGTTTGTAGGCTGCATGCGTTATACCAAAGACATCTAGTTTATAGTGGTGTTTCTTTGAGCTGCATGAGCTTCCTCTCTGCGTTGTGCTGTGTAGCAGTGGTGGTGTGTTTGTGACGTCAGACCGGATGCCTCTTGTACGTGTGTCACACTGACGGCCTCTGTCTCTCCGTAGCCTCCTGTTGTGAAGACTGAGATGGTTACGATCTCAGACACGTTTGCTGCTCAGAAGACGGAGATATCCACTAAGGAGGTTCCCATCGTTCACACAGAAACCAAGACCATCACGTACGAGGCCGCCCAGGTGAGAGGGGTCACGTGATCCTGTGATGTTGAAATCGTAGGAATCACATGGTCAGGTCAGGAGTCACTGCACTGGATCTGTAATCATATGTGTGTGTGTGTGTGTGTGTGTGTATATATACACTACTGGTCAAAAGTTTGGGATCAGAACGATTTTTTATGTTTTTTACAGGAGTCTCTTCTGCTCATCGAGGCTGCATTTATTTGATCAAAAATACAGGGAAAAAATGTAATATTGTGAAATATTATTACTATGTAAAATGTTTTTCTATTTTAATATACGTTAAAATCAAATTTATTCCTGTGATGCAAAGCTGTATTTTCAGCATCATTCCTCCAGTCTTCAGTGTCACATGATCTTCAGAAATCAGTATAATATGCTGATTTATTATCAGTGCTGGAAACTGTTGTGCTACTTAATATTTTTTTTTAAACTTAAATACTTTTTTTCAGGATTCTTTGATGAATAAAATGTTAAAAATGTCAATATATGCACTACCATTCAAAAGTTTGGGGTCAGTAAATTTTTATTCTTTCTTTTTTGAAAGAAATTAAAACGTTTATTCAGCGAGGATGTGTTAAATTAAGTGATAGCAAATATTTATATTGTTAGAAAAAAATTATATTTTGAATAAATTCTGTTTCTTTTAACTTTTTATTCATCAAAGAATCCTGAAAAAAATATCGCAGTTTCCCAAAAAATATTTGTCAGCACAACTGTTGATAATTCTAATAATAAATCAGCATATTATACTGATTTCTGAAGATCATGTGACACTTTATACTGGAGTAATGATGCTGAAAATACAGCTGCGCATCACAGAAATACATTACATTTGAAAGGATATTAAAATAGAAACCATTATTTTATATTGTAATAACATTTTGCAAGATTACAGTTTTTTTCTGTATTTTTGATCAAATGAATGCAGCCGTGATGAGCAGAAGAGACTTCTTTAAAAAACATTACACGTCTTACTGATCCCAAACTTTTGACCGGTAATGTATATATATACACACTGTTAAAGCCATCTTAATTTTGCCTTAATTGTCTTTTTGAATTGAGTAGAATATGTAAAATTTATGGAGATTTGTGATTGCCATATACATTTTTGTCCTTGAGCTGAATAGCTACCTCTAGTGTTGCATACCGGTCACTGCACCTAAATAATACCTGTAGGGTCCTGCTTAAAGGGGTCATATGATGCTGCTAAATAGAACATTATTTTGTGTATTTGGTGTAATGCAATGTGTTTATGCGGTTTAAGGTTAAAAACACATTATTTTCCACATACTGTACATTATTGTTTCTCCTCTATGCCCCGCCTTTCTGAAACGTGTCGATTTTTACAAAGCTCATCGGTCTAAAAAGCGAGGTGTGCTGTGATTGGCCAGCTATCCAGTGCGTTGTGATTGGCTGAATACCTCAAGCGTGTGACGGAAATGTTACGCCCCTCACCATACTGTGATTCCCCGTCCGCCGGAGCGACGAGACAAAAACATTAAAACCCATTATAAACGAGGCATTTGTTGCATCCAGTGGGGACATAATTACTGATTTTAATGACTTATTCTGTCTTTTTACGTGTTGCGTTGCGTATCGCGCTGCGTAAACTTTGCCTGTCACGATAACAATTTTTTGTTGTGCGATATACTGTATTACCCCTGAAATAATTGCGATAATCGATATTGTCATTTTGAAAACCATTTTATGCCACTGAATATATACTCATAATGTAACAGCATAATAATGCAAGAAGGCCTACACACTTCCAAATGACAACAAACTTTGAATTTGTAAGAATATTTAGATCATGGAAATTAAGTATCAGAATATTAGATATCTTAAAAAACCTGAATAAATAGTAAATAAACATTTTCTAACAAATAGTGCTAAGTAACAAGTACAAAAAATGGAAAAAGAACTTGTATAGAGATTTTTCCAGCTACAGATTTTTCCCCTGACCTTCTTTTCTCTGTAAATTAAGGCTGCACACTATTGCTGAGAAACACAATCACTATTTAGCAGTCAGATGTCCGTATGCACAAAGACACAGATCCCTAAACAACACCATATCTGCAGCCCTATTTGGGCGGCGTTATGCAAATCTTCCCACATAGTGATGTAGACATGTGGGGGCATGTTAGAACGAGCCGTTTTAGGCAGGGTGTATATATATATATATATATATATATATATATATATTTCTCACTCATTATGTGTATGTGTATATTATCTTGTAAAATACATTCCCTCATGAGGTAGCTTTAAATGTGGCTGTGTTTTGTCATTATCTTGTAGTTTAGCTCACTACTTTTTCAAAAGAGCGTTGAAATGCTCTGAAACTAAATCCTGTCAAACTGCTCATAATTTTGACATAGCTTCACCAACATTGACTAAAACGGTCGGCATAAATGCAGAGTCACGCAGCTGTGTTGCTGTCAGAGTGCTGAGAGTGTTTGTGTTTGTTTGTTCTGTCTGTGATTGACAGCTTGATGGTAATGGAGACGGGGAGCCAGGCGTGCTCATGACAGCTCAAACCATCACCTCTGAATCGCTCTGCACCACCACCACCACACACATCACGAAGGTAACACACACACACATCACGAAGGTAACACACACACACATCACGAAGGTAACACACACACACATCACGAAGGTAACACACACACACATCACGAAGGTAACACACACACACATCACGAAGGTCACACATCACGAAGGTAACAAACACACACACATCACGAAGGTAACACACACACACATCACAAAGGTAACACACACACACATCACGAAGGTAACACACACACACACATCACGAAGGTAATCACGAAGGTAACACACACACACATCACGAAGGTAACACACACACACATCACGAAGGTAACACACACACACATCACGAAGGTAACACACACACACATCACGAAGGTAACACACACACACATCACGAAGGTAACACACACACACATCACGAAGGTAACACACACACACATCACGAAGGTAACACACACACACATCACGAAGGTAACACACACACACATCACAAAGGTAACACACACACACACTCACACACTCTCTCACTCTCTCACACACACACACACACACTCTCTCACTCTCACACACACACACACACATTACGAAGTTAACACACACACACACACACATTACGATGGTAACACACACACACGCACACACCACTGGCTGATACATTTGGGCTGATAAGAGAGGTTATGAGATGATGATCCTGTTCAGGATGTAGGATATTAGCTGACAGGTAAAAGTAGGGATATAGATGCAGAGCCAGCAGACTTCATTTGTTTTTGTTCTCCTTGAGCAGGTTCCTTTGAATTTTAATGTCAGAAGTGAGTTTAATGTATGACCAGTTTTTAAAGACAACATAAAATCAAAGCCCTATTTACACTGAAAATGTTTGGTGTAGGATTTACTTTGAAAACTTGAATTTTCACTCAGAAATTGCAGGTAAATTATTTTATAGAAAGACTGAAATAGTATTTTAATGCAAAAACCTACACCAACAATCTTGTAAAAAAAAATTTTTAAACTTGCAAATAAAGTGCTGTCCTGTACCTCTGTTCAGTGCAGTGCACATCATGTCTGTGTCTCTTTAATGATTGACAGACACTAAAGGGCGGGCTGTCAGAAACTCGCATTGAGAAGCGCATCGTCATCACGGGAGACTCTGACATTGATCACGATCAGGTGAGATGCACACACACACACACAACTGTCGTCTGTGTACATATATAAAGCCAGATGCACACTCTTTGATTTTTGCCGGAGTCTATTTTTAGACATTGTAGCAGGTTTCTTTGGTCTGATCGCTCAGAGTGACACATCAGTAAAAGTTTCCACTGGAAACAGTAAGCACAAATCAATAGAATGTCAGCTCATGCACATGGTTTATTTTACCTCATCTACTGATTTTTTTTATAGGCTATTTATTATATAAATTAATATCAAAGACTTATGCAATCTCTCTGTCTACATTATGAAAACTGGTAAATCAAGCGAAAAATATTATCCTAATAGTAATTCCCATAATTCCAAATTGCAATAGCCAATGTTTCTCTATTAAAACAACAGCGGTTTAGTAAGCGCATCTATACAGCGATCACAATCGCAAACAATTTAGTCGAGATCTCATGACAGAACAGACACCGGCTGAGTCGCGCTTTCATTTAGATCGCTACATCAGCATTTTTTTAACATTTCATTATAATTTTTGACCACAAGGTGGCACTGGCCTGAAACTTTGAGAACCCTCAGGGCATGGTGGCAATGACATACATAGTTTTGTAATGACACACCAATGCGTTTGTAGCATTTTATGTCAAAGTTTATAATGGCTCAACATGGATAAAAACAATTGGATACCATTCGACTCTGCATGCTGCTCCAAAAATAAAGAGACCAGTTTTGTGACTTTTGGCCAAACCGTTTAGAAGTTATGAGGAAAAATAGCTGGTTTTCATATCTCCTGACCACTAGTTGGCGCTGTGCTGAAACTGTGCACAAGTCTTTATTGTCATAACACACCAAATTTGGTCTCAATATGCTAAGGCACTGAGGATAAATAGCCTCAAGTTCATTTTGGTTTTCTCTTTGATGAGTTCTTTTGTCGCATTATTTGAAAACGGTTTAATTAATCAACTTGAATTCCATGCATTTTTTCACTATGGTCTGAAAAAGATCTTATTTAATTTTTTGTAAAAATCATAGCAACAGTTGAGGGGGAGTTTGAAAAGGTTTTAAAAATGTTTCAAAAAATGTTTTTAGCCCTTTGGTTCAAAAGATATTAGCATAAATGTAAGTGCAAATTTGGACAGATGCAGTGCTGAGAGGAAGTGCTTTAGTGCCCATATGAGCGCTGTCACGTCTCCAGCGTGACCTCCACCCCAGCAAACAATGAACTCCTCTGAGAGATTAAAGGCGCTTCTCAGCGCTGCCGATACGCTTCCCTCCGGATGTGTCAACAGTGGGCTGTGTTGTTTTGGGATTAGAAATGTCACAGCTCTGCCGCTGCTCACAGGACAGGATATCTGCAGGATATGTATTCAAATCTAGAACCCGGCTAACTGTACTCGATACCAGCCGAGGAGGGTTCAGATTCAGTTTAATTTCAACATGTGAAAATCAGGCTGAGGGATGAAGATACAGAGTC